TGGGATGGATCTCTCACTGCAGATCTGATGACCTGATGTTTTCGGGGAGGGTGACACATATATCACTGGTCACTGTCTGAGTGCACTCTCACTGATGTGGGGGTGGGGGTGAGGCATCTCAGATGCATTTCTTACTAGTGACCTTTTGACACGCTATTGAAGAGAAATGCATCACTCACAGGGCAAACCAAGTGCAGTGCCTTGCGAAAGTATCGAGCCTCGCCTGAATTACAAATGATATGCACATATATTTTTCATCTCAGTATTTTAATTGCAAACTCATAGTCTCTCACAGTATATTTTCAAAGTCAAAATCAATTATCAGCAAAATCTTTTAATCAGAAACTAAAAATTCTGTATTCGACCTCTACACAATAGTATTTGACAAAGCCAGCTATTTTGGGGCAAGTAGCTGCCAGCTTTTTATACTGTTCATGAGTGAATTCAGGAGTGATTACCAGGTCTTTCTGATTGGTTGGATGTTGCTTTTCAATGAAAGCCACAGGGTCTCTATGGGATTTAGACCTGGACTTTAGACTGTAAAACATTCACCTTCTTGTTATTTTAGTCTCCCCTGTATTGATTTGACCTTGTGATTAGAGTCATTGACTTGCTGAAAGTTTAACTTTTTTCCCAAGATTTTTTATTTTTTTTTCAGACTGAAGCATGTTTTTTGTAATACCTCCACATTTTTTGGTTCATCCATTCTCCCTTCAGTTTTGACAAGATGCCCAATTCCTGAACCTGACAAGCATCATCATAGCATGATGCTGCCACCACCACATGTCACTGTAGGGATGGTGCTAATTGAAGCATGGGTCGAGTTACGTCTGTGCCACATATAGTACTGTGAATTTTGGCCAAAAATCTCTATCTTTGCCTCATCAGACCACAAAACCTTGTCCCATATGTTAGCTGGGTCACTCTCCTACCTTCTGGCAAGCTGTGGACATGCTTTCATACAGCTCTACTTGAGTAATGTCTTCTTTCTTGATCTATCAGTGTTAAACCTCTTGTATACCTTTTGTACCCCTACTAAACAAATGATACTTGGTTATTTATCTCTAAGTGTCTTACATGCTACTTAGTCATTTTCACTCCTTACCTTCTGACTGACAATCTTTCCAAATATAAAACTGAGGGGGGCATGGGGGTTATCCCACGTGGAGGACAGCTGTGTCCTCAGTAAGGCCAAGGTTTTCTCCTCCTACATCTGGAGCTTCCAGAGCAAAGGGGTTGGATAATTATACAAGAAGCATTTTTCAGTTCTTGGTTTTCTTTAAAAGATTTGCTCACAGATAATTGATTTTGACATGGAAAATTTACTGTGAGAGACCATGAGTTTGCAATAAAAATATATTGGAAGAATATGTGTATGTATCATTTGACATCCAGGCAAATTCGGTCATTTTAAGGGCAGTTCAATACTTCAAGGCACAGTGTGTTTACTGCTATATTGTCTTCTGCATTACACCAAATCAATGCCACTTAAACAAGAGTGAAAGGTTAACAAAACAGTTATATGTTGGATATTAACGTGTCTTTATTCCTTAAATATTAACATAACTCAATAAATCAGCTCTCACTGTTGTCATCACCATCACAGGATATTTACTCCTTCATTAACACAAATTCTGTGGAACGTCTGGAACATTTCATCCGCATTACGTTTATATTTATCTAGCTGGCGCTTTTGTCTAAAGCAACATATTAATGTGGAAAGCAGCACATTTCAAGCATTCAGCTGTCAAGAAGTCGACTTGCTTAGGTCAAGCTTCCATTGAATGCCCAGGTAGAAGTGTAAGCTGTGAATTACTGGAAAACTCTACAATCCTGACTTGGTTTAATGTGATTCAAACCCTGAGAGCCATTAATTCAGCAGTTCAAACAGGGACAATTAATTGACACCTCAGGTGTAATGAAAGTAAGGAGGTGTGTTGAGAAATTCTGTGCTCTATGGTGCCCCTGCTGGCCTGCTTGTGTATGTGCTGTACTTGAACAATTAACCTGATATTACAGCTTAGGGGATATGATACCAAACGGCAGAAACCGGTCAGTCATACAGCTGCCAAAACAGAAGGTTATCATTCAGACATAAAATTCCCCGTGTCACAAACAGTCAATATGAATGAAAGATGAGCAGTACAGATTAAGTGCTTGGCCGATGCGGGTTCTCAAAACCAGTACAGCTATGGCATCTTGGCAACATTTCAGCCCACAGACTTCAGACTGTCAGCCCGCATCTCCATCTCAGAAACTATGTTCTACCATCATCGTCCTGATTGGTCAGGCTATATACCTGATTGGACCAGGCTTTAAATCTGATTGGTCCAGGCTTTAAATCTGATTGGGCAGACTTTAAACCAAGCTAGGGGTGACTTTTCAGCAGTGCCATGCCTACGAATCAAACTTTCCCATGAGAATGCCAGTTCTAGGGCAACTGTATTTCACTCCAATCATTTTAAGGTTTGCTGCAGGCTGTTAGTATTGGAAGTTATGCTGCATTCATTCATAGATCCCATTTAGGGAAGTACATTGGTTGTGATGTTCGCTGCAGTTTGCTGCACAGTTGAGTATCCTTCTTTTGTCCCTCCTCTCCTCCCTCACCTGATGTGGCCACCATGTAGGCCAGGGATCTCTGCCTGATGAATGCAACTGTGATATGGTTGGTCTCATCTGGGATTTAATCGTGTCACGTCATACCTGGAACGCAGACATTTCACTGCATAGTCACTGTATAGTCACTGCATAACCAAGGCTGGCCCTGGATGTTCTGACAGACTTTTGGTTGAGCACCCCCCCCGCCCCACCCAAAAACCTGCACCCACACTGGCCCTCCATGGAACAGGTTCCCCATCAGATTAAGAGCGCTCAAAGCAACCCTACATTGCTGAACTTTTTCATTAAATCTGCCAAATAAATGATTGCAGCATCTTCCCAAAATTAAAAACAGCGACGTTATTGATCGAGGCCATAAATTAATTCACAGTAAACAATGGCTCCCTAAAGTTGTCTCTGCTCCTCCCATCCTTGAGGTGTGACTCACAAACCAAAGAAAAACAGACATTTTGGGAGTTTGTTTTTTGCCAGAGGATCTCTGCTTGTGCTGCGTTTGTGCTAAAGATGACAGTCACATGCTTCAAATTCCTCAGATTCAGATCGGAAATTCAGACCGAAACACCGACAGAAATTCCAACCTACACTCAGGTATTTCTCTCTGCTTCACTTTCGCTGCCAACTAAGCAGAGTGAGATAAATACTTGCAAGCCGAACATTCCAGGAAAGCTGTGGGACCGCTAGGGTTACAGTAAACCAGTGTTTCTCAACCCGGTCTCCGGGGACCCCCAGACAGTTCACGTTTTTGCTCCCTCCCAGCTCCCTGCCAGACAGTCCACATTTTTGCTCCCTCCAAAAGCATGAACTGTCTGGGGGATCCTTGAGTAACGGGCTGAGAAAAACTGCAGTAAATTCACGTCGCAAAGAAACAGCAACCAGCATCACCAGAGCTGAGCTCCTCAACTAATGTGTCATGCAGAGGACCGTAAAAAGCCGTCCTATTTTTCTAATAGTTCCTTTGTTGAGGGTGTTGACCTGAAACATCTAGGTGAGGCCTATTTGTACAGAATATCATGGGTTTTCCTATTTATTTTTGCTACCCTCATCCTGTTCCTGAGTTCCCCTGGTGACAGCCACCTGCCTTGCGTGCCTGAAAGCCATCTGTTCCCAAGTGGCGACACAACAGCACACAGAGTTTGGCGAAGCTCAGGAAATGGGCGGGGGGGGGGCCCTATTCTTCACGGACCTAGCATTGGGGAGGCCAGTGGGCGTGGATCATGTTTGTCCATGACGGAGGGTTACTCTGTGCCTTAGGAACCCAAAGTTTCTGTCCCCCAGGCTTGTGGGGGGCGTACACATCTTCTTTACTTTTCTGAGAGAATACGACGGCAGCAGAAATAGTTCCTGCAGAAACCATATGTCAGGAGGTACTTTCATCATTAAGGAACAAAACAGCCAAAGAATCTGATCCAATCCTCTTACAGGCCATATGTCTTATGTGACGAAACCATCTCCTGCCAATTATCCACAAAATTGACCTACTGCTGCTGGAAAATGAGAAGTGAATATATATAATTTAATATCATGCCATGTATAATTACATCCTATGGACAGAATTTAGACAGTGAAGGCTGAGATACGACTCTTTGTCAGGACAGATTAAGGATCGTGTCTTGTGCTGAGTCAATTATCACACCAGAGCGACTGCCAGGCTCATAAGGAAACATAAGGTAAGTGGGGAAATGGCCGTGCTGCAATTTTAGACTTTGACTTTGCCTAAATTCAGGGGCAGATCCTGGCAAGGCCAAGATGGGCAATCATCCATCTTCTGAGAAGGTGCTGACTTGGCAAATCCCTGGTCGACAAACACTCCACCCCCGTTACAGGTTTTCTCTTTTTTTTTAAATCACCCTCACTGTGTTCACTGCAACTAGGCTGACATGTATGTGTCAGAGACAAAGTGAAATTGGGGGGTGAAGCTCGCCTAGGGGCCCCAGAATCTGTTTTCTTTTCTTGTGTGATTCCCTTGCGCACATATCAAAATGGCTGCCTTTTCCTTTCCTTCATTTCTGCCATTTTGTTTACCATTGACTCCCATATACACATCCCATATACACATCCCATATACACATCACTTCCCTGCCCAGACTGACTCTTACAACTACGCCTCTCACTAAACTGACATATATTACTAGTACATTCCTAAAACTGTTTGTCAAAATAATTTAGTGTCACTATATAAAGAATTACAACAGACTTCTACAGACTGTGAACTTTAAATCCTCTTAACCTGTAACTGCTATTAAAGCAAAGCAAATCCTAAATCCTTGGGTATGGATCCATCACAGAGCCCATTTTTCGAAGACAAGACGGTCAAAGGGGGGTAAAGGCAGAAGGCAGTGCAGAGAGCAGCCTAGCATGTGAGAAGGACCATGATCTCCTACCCCTCCCTGGTGTCCTCCTCATCCAGGTTGGAGAGCAGCTGTGATCCAGCCATAGAGAGGTCCAGTGTTGCCAGTGGGAAGTCCCTGTAGCCAAAGCTAACAAGCTGGACTGGGGTGATGTGCTGGTTGTCCTCCTCCATCTGCTGGGAGATGCTTTCTAGGTCTGCATAACCAGCCTGCTGCACCACCCTACAGAGAGACAGACATTTTTAAGGTCACTCGTCATTTCTGTTATTGTCTAGTCACACAATTATACAGTCGTCAATGGAACTAATTTACGGTAACATCAATCAGCGGTCTTTACTGGAGTCTATCATTGGGCTTTGTCAAAGGAATCCATTTAACAGTCTTTACTGGTGTAGTTACTGGGCATGTGATATGACAGCTTCTCATATGCCTACTGTATGTAAAAATAGCCATTTAATATCTTTGATCATTACTGATCTGGTTACTGGGACAGTGAGACACATATTGGAGAAGCCCAGTGCTCCATACTACCATGCCGAAGTAGAGGAAAGGCTGATTCGGGTTACATATTAACTGCATAAAGACTGAGGTTATGGATGATCCATTCATGGGGTTCACAATGTGTCATCATAGGCAAGGCTGCCCGGTAGGGAGGTTCCGCACAACAACAACGGGTCTAAAACAATTTTACAAGCATACTGTTGTGGAGTAAGTGGATTTCGGAAATCCTGATACGGAAAGTGCTTCTGAAAAAAAATAAAATATTCAGAAAAAAAAGGAGCAGAGAATCATAAATGACTGAGTGTTTTCGACATCTCCTGTAGAAATGTACATCATTTGAGAGGGGGAAAAAAATCACATTTCACCTGAAACACAGTGACCTTCCATTGCACTGGACGACTGCAGAAAATATACCAAGCATGTTCCCGGACTCAACCTGCTCACTGGGACTGCTGCGTTTCAAGCTCAAACACATTGTTCAAGTGATTTGGCAGATAACAATAATGACATCAAATTAAAGCCTGGCTCCATGTAAGGATTAAGGACGACATCCATTTTGGCTTTTCTTTACATAAGTAAATGGACCTATGCTTAATTAGTATGTCCCACTACTAACAGTGTAAGCAAAATATGCACACACCAATAATAATGCATCCATCTTTTGACAGGCGGACCTTGGGCCTATCACAGGCAGCCATTGATAAGGTTACGCCCAGGACGTGATGTCAATCCCCCAGGTACACACACTACGGGCATTTAGAGAGGAAAGTCACATGACATGAGGAGGACATGCAAAAAGTGGAGGTGAGATATAAGTCCCCAGTCTGGGGGGTGTGAGGCTACAGGCCCCCACCCTGCTGCCCAAAACTACAGCAAATTTAAATTAAATACTAAATTTACTCTGGTGGTTGAATTAAAGGACGGCACAGTGATGCAGGCGTTAGCATTCTCACACCTTTGGGACCAGAATCTGAGTCTCTGCCTTGGTCTATGCAAGACGTAGACCTACCAATATTGTGGGAGTTCTGTGTATGTTTATGGGGGTGGAGGGTTGTGACTGATTCGGTCTTATCAATGCTGAAACCAAACCTATGCCCTTGGGTCTGTGTGTGTGAAGTTTGCATGTTCTCTGGTTTCCCTAAGGTGAACTGGAGTTGCCAGATTGTGAATGTGTGCACCCTGTCCTAGGTTATTCCCTGCCTTGTGCCTGTAGCTTCCCGGATAAGCTCGGGACCCCAATGATCTGGCATAGGACAAGCAGGTATGGAAAATGGTTGGTTAACAAAGTTTCAAAGTTTTAACTGAAAATCTGAAACTCACACCCTCATCAGCAGGTGAAACTTAGATGATATCATTTGACTATTTTCCAGTTATTCCATCCAACTTATTTCTTATCTCAGCTGGCTCAACGAACAGTTCAAATTACTTACACCTACTGCACCACTTGTGCCAAATATCTGGACGTGACAGTCGCCCATCCATCATACTTCTCCCTCCGCTGATCCTGCTGCTCAGCAGGTCGGCCCAGACGACTGTCTCCAAGGCCACAGACTGTAGCTCGTTCTGGGGATCCCCAGACGTTCCCAGACCAGCTGGGAGACATAATCCCTCCAGCGTGTCCTGGGTCTGCCCCGAAGCCTCCTCCCAGTGAGGTGGCCTCACTTGGGAGCCGTCCAGGTGGCATCCTTACAAGATGCCCGAACCACCTCAGCTTACTCCTCTTGATCTCAAGGAGTAGCAGGTCTATTTGAAGCCTGTCCGGATTTCTGAAATCACCCTGGCAAAGTCCAGAAACCCTGCACAGAAACTGCATTTCGGCTTCTAATCTTGTTCATCCAGTCATCACCCAAAGCTTATGACCTTAGACGAGGACAGGCATGTGAGCTGACCGGTTAACCATTACTGTCATCTTATGATATATCTCCTGCTTTACCACCATGAACCTGATCGGTGGCCACAAAACCCGCAGCCACCGAACTGACCCACCTGCCAGTCTCTCCCCTCCCTCGCATCACTTGTGAAGAAGATCCCAAACGACTTAAAGTCCTTCACAAAGGACAGCCTCTCCCATGAAAGGGATAGGCCACTGAAACTCTGTTTAGTAACATAATATTCAAATAGATGTATGATTGTTATTATGAATAACAATCACAAATAAATAACAATTCGCTGGAATTTTTAATATGTATTTTTTATTTGCCACATACACAAAGGTGCACTGTACATATGTATGATGTAATGCTCCCTGTATTGTGCTCATAAAGAACTAAAAGAAAGACAGATAATATTCAAAAATAAATATAAATAAATAAAATTCAGATAAAAATAAATAGCATAAACCAATTAAATAAATTAAGACAATATAACACGATACTTTAATGTAAATACCTATATTATAGGGCTCCCATAGCTTGGTTACAGTAAATTTGATAATTTAGTAGCCTTATTTGATAAAAGTGTCTTTGCATCAAGATGGCGGCCTGCTTGCTGGTGAGACTCTCGAGCACATGATCGCTTTGCACTCAGCCTTTGTCACATTTGCACATGTGAAAGACTCGGCCGGAGCGGGTAAAATGGCACAGCAGGATGCCTGAGGAGAGCATGCCCCAGCGCTGTCTCACTTGAGGGGGGGGGGGGCTCGCACCAGAGGACGTGTTAACGGCGTAAATAGAAAAGAGAAGCGTTATGACCTCGAGCTTGAAATCAGAAGGTCAGAGAGCGCTGCCCTCTCTTATTATGGGCACGGCACTGCTAGAAACATTAAAGGCAGCCTCAATGGTGATTACCAGTCATGCCACCACGCTGGAACAAAGGCAAATCCAATAGGATGCATTCATCTACACAGCCAGGTAAGAATCACATTCTTTTTAGGGGAAATAGTGGATACTCTTAAGACACTGATATGCCTAGTAAGATCCATCTATCCATCTTTTAACTAGTTATCCTGGTTACTGTCATGGGTCTAGCAGCATATGTGAATTTATAAGTTCCACAAACCGCCCGGTGTTTAATGAGCAAATGCTGTACATATCTTCTCAGTAATAGCTGGAGGTGGTTTGTAGAGTCTGTGTGAATACAGGCACTCCAGTGGTGATGACTGCCACACAGTCGACACAGTTCAGCAGGACCTCACATTGACTCTGCAGTGACTCCAAATTAACAGGAGACTCCTGGCACAATGACTCGACCACCATTTCACAATAACTCTACTGTGACACCAAAATAACCCTCATGGCAGCTCAAGTGATATTTTGTCCTGGCCCTACAAAGGGGCTACAATGATTCTCCTGAGATTAAACTAACAATGCAGCTCCCCAAAATAAGAAATCATCAATAAAGCAGAAGCTAGAAGTATTGACTGAAGGACCAAGCAGGCCACAGAGGAAAGCCTGGGGATTACAGAATCAGCCAATGAGAGAAGAGGGTTAAACGCTGCTGTGACCCAGTATGTTATATTGCTCTGCGGGGCTGTCTGTGGAGACCTGTGTGCCCCTTACTCTGAAATGTTAATGTAGTCTGGGCCTGAAGGTCAAACTACTTCTGCCTTATTTTAGGCTTTCATGTCACCGTTGTTTTTTGTCCTCTTGTCATACCCTTAAATCTGGGAAGAAATGTCTGTGAAGATTTTTTATGGAGAAAGCAGTTGATTGCTCATGTCTTTACCAATATTTTTGCAACGGTAAATATATAGAACTTCATAAAACAATGTGCCTGACATCTGTCATTCTTCCTCACCTCACACAAATCATTTTTCTGCCTTTTCGGGGGTATTCGAGGATCACGCAGTCTGCTTTAGCACCCCATAGCGAGCCTTGAGGTATGCTCTGTAGCCTATCCCCGCGTCAGTGAGAAGCGCTTCTCTAATTCTGGTTAGCCACGTTTGGTGCTAAGTGGAATCAGGCTAACCAGACACATATGTGGGTGTCATAGGATTGGAATTCATAACTTGTTTCATAACAAGTGAGCTAGTCTATGCTGAAAAGCCCATCAGGGAGACAGTCAAACCGAACAGCATACATGCTAAGCGACAATGGGCGTATGTCTTATACATACACCAATGACAAAGAAGGCAGGAGCAGCTGAGAGCATGGAGGACATTTTGAGGTGCTTAGCTTTGTGCCACCTGCAGGTAAAGCACAGGTCAAGCCATAGGCAGGTGTAGCAAGAACAAATACACTGAACAAAGGGAAAAAAACCCACTTAAGAGTCAGAAATATCTCCCACAGTGTCCCACAGTGGCCTTTGTGAGTTATAAATACCCACAGTGGCTATTCTGCCGGGGTTTCCCGTTACTGTAACCTTAAGTGTACTGCCATCCTGAAGACCCTTCAGAGCTTTATATTTGTATTGCAAAGGTGAGGAAATGAGCACCTCAAACAGCCTTTGGTCAACTATGCGATTCATGCAAAACACAGCCAGTCACAAACGGTCACTTGTTACCTAATTCATTAACTTATTACTTAAATCAGGAATCTTCAAATGTCTCCTGGAGCCTCAGATCACCATCAGATGCACAAATACCATCAATGCTGTAACCACAAATACCACAACCGGATACTATACGGATACTGTATTTGACACACTAAGCCCCATATAATATATAAATACCATTTAACAAACACTTCATGCAGACACTGTAAATGAAGTCTTTATAACCAGCTCATTAGTGGGACTTAACCTTTCTGTAATCTTGGGATGATACACATAAGACATACCCATGCTTTAAGATATAAAAATTATTAATCTGTGATTAATGCTTACACTTTACCTCCCCCTCCTAGAATTGTAGAAAATTAACTACAATGAGAATCGTAACCATGCAAATTTACAGCATTTTTATATATCATTTAGATATTTTTATATAAGTCTGGTCTGTACTCATTTAAATATCTATATATACAAGTTGTGATACATAATTATCAGAATATTTGGTGTTACTGCATTACTGAAATGCATGCAAGCATTATTGGACTTTTTTTTTTTGGAAAAAGGGGGAAATTGCAATCAAGACATCCTTCAAGGTATTCTGTTCTTGCCATAAAAATAATGCATAACAAGCTAAATTAATGGATGGAAATGGATCTTTAAAAAACCCTTTTGCCATAAAATACACAACTGTAATTCTAACCGAATTAAAAATATATGTGTAAAATCAGCAAAATATACTGTAATAGATTCTTCTTTATCATTGAGGCAGATAATAAACAAAGTATCCATCTGATCACCTCTGTTAATAAATTTATTTTTGCTGTTTGGCTTGTTTTTTTCCTTCCTTTTTTAAATGAGTTTTATCAACATGTTGTAATAGCATACAGCCTACAGCCAAGTTTCATCTCCTTCAGTTTAGCCTGACTATGCAACACATTCAATCAACAACTTGCTCAAGACTAATTAATTAAGAGCTGAGTTATAATGAAAAACAGCATTCTTTATGGCTATTAGGGACCAGTGCTTACACCAAGAATCACTGTATTTAATCATAAAAGGGACCCACAAAAATACAAAATTTTTTCTCTCTGAAATCGGATCTGTATAAAAAGGCTAAATGAGGCTAACATCTGTGACAGGTCTCCTCAGAGAGAAGCTCTCTTTACAACGGATGGTTGCTGCTGATTTCCTGATGGGATGGTTCTACCTGTAATTTGGAACAAGTCCAAAATATTAAATTACATTTGTTGGACGCTTCTTATGTGTCAGCTGTTGCATTTAGCGATTTAATGTCTACACCTATTGTACTGTGCTTAAAAGTCTTAGGCTGGCAAAGAAAATTATGCTTAAATCATCTTTATACTGATGTCTGTCAAAACGCATTAGCTTAGCCATTTGAAAACCTCTCTCTGAAAGTCACCCCAGTAATTGCAGTAACAATCCAATATACCTACGTTTTTGTTTCCTCAACCACTTGCACACCATGTTTGACTAATCAGTACTTCACCATGTTCTTTAACTAATTAACGTAATTAATTAAGTGAGTTGCAGGTGACATTTAACAAATACATGGAATGGTTGCTATTGAATAAAGGCTAGAGAACGAAGGTGACGTCCTTCGAGACACCAGACAAAATATTAGTAACTTTCTGGATAACAGAAGAAAACAGAAACATATCCTAATATTAAATTGTATCACATTTCTGAGAAAATATACATGTACTGCTAACTAGATAACTAGCTTAGATAATATACTGCACAGATAACTAGCTTGGATAATATACATGTACTGCACAGATAGCTAGATAACTAACTGAACATTTTCATCGACGGTCTGAGAATTTAGCATAGTACAGTATATACTGTACCTCACTTTTAGTTTCTATTGCTACAACCAGTGATTATTATAATTATGTAAGCTATCCTTGACTTTTAAACACCAGTAAAACACCTGAGTAGTCCCATGTGACCTCTTTATATGAACGTACAATTTCCAGTTTGTATCTTCACGCAATTTTTAATGGTACAGACCTTGCCCAGTGCAGCCATGATTGCCATTATGATGCATGACCAGCCACAAGGTCACATAGGCTTACATTATAAAGGGCTTTTACGGTGTCAAACAGGCCTAGACTGACAACAACCTGCTGAAGACCAAGAGCACGAAATGTTTTAAAAACAGCCTTATAGCAACCTCATTACTGTGTCCTCTGCTCCCCCCCCCCACATCAGTGCCAAAGCTCTTATTCCCAGTATCGACTTGATCAATTCCTCAATCTCCTATAGATTAGCTTTGATGAAGAAGTGGAGAGGTAGGTGACAGGTGGGACGCCCTGCATTCCAAAGCAGCTGTCTCGCTCCCTAGTGGCCCCCGCATGACCCCCCGTTCCAGTTCCGGAACACTTCTGCTCAGAACACCTGATCGTTAGCCAAGGAGGTAGTGATGCGTAGAGTGAGGTGGATCTGAGCTGGGGATAACAGGTCAGACTCCGTACTCACCCAGGGTCGGCCATGGTGAAGATACAGGGAGCACTTCCACTTGACTTCAATTTCTCCAGCTTTCCAAAAGTAATTATGCTTCTCTCATAATGAACCTGTTCAAAAAAATGCCAAAAAGCACATAATGAGCCCACTGAATGGACTCCTTAAATTCTGTGAGATTTCTGTATTTCAAACGTCGAGCACATAAGATACAGTATCACAGGGATCTCACAACCAGAGGAATGAACCAGCAAGACGCTGCTTGGTGTTGGTGAGAGAAATGCATGAGACACAGCATTCTTTACTGTCACCTGACCATGTAGGACATGTGCATAGACATTAGGGTGACCTGCATGACCCCAAATGGCTACCATGAAATGTTGTTTCTCTGGGGGTAACTGGTGATGAGGAAAAGACAAATTAAACATATATATATATAGCTAGAAGAAAAATCTATCCATTATTTACTGACAGTTATACATCCAAAACAGCAATAAAATATTAAAAATGAATAATAATAATTAAGAGACTACAGCACAAATTTTTGTTCCACTCATTTCTCAATTCATGGGTGCGCGTCTGTGAATAATTTTTCATATATTTATTTTTCATTTTCAAGTTGCAACCTGGTTCTTCCTTGTTTCTCATTAATGAAGGGCTTCTTCCTTACTTTATGAAACTTCAGTCCTGCTTCTAGGAGCCTTATACCAACTGTCCTAGCAGTGCACTTCACATCTGCACTTAATGTTTCCCTCCAGTGTCATCCTCCGATTCATGAGAAACTGTCGGATAACTTAACGGTCATCTCTGGCATTAGAAAGTTGCTTCTGCCCTCTGCCTGGCTGGTTTCTGGTTGTTCGCAGTGTCTCCTGCTTCACCTCATTCTTGTGTACTGCTGTCTTAGAAATTTTGAACCTGGAAACAACCTGCTGTTCTGCCAGCTAAACCATGATTAAACTAGGATTTAAAATGCAGATTTGTTTAAAAATATAGAGTGGTCTCTCAATCTTTCCCACGGCTGTATATACAGTTCTCACAAAAATCTTGGAATGTTTGCTTAATTAAATACAAAATCATTACTTTTTTCATTTGTTTACAAAAAAAAAATCATATTACGGTAGAAACAACCGGCAGTTTCAAGTAAAACATTCATTTCAAGTCGTAATAAATCAAAACCCAAATTATAGTTCTAATAGAGCTGTTCTGTGTTAAAAACTTCATTGACAAGCAATCTCAGTTGGGTGCCTTTTAATTAGTAACATCTTTGCAGTAACAAAAAACACCAAACGTCTTTAATATCTTTTTGGGAGCCAGTGACTGCAATTGCAACTATTAGCAAAATTGCAAGAATAGAACTGAATGAGTCAGTCAAAAAAAATTACGGCTGTGCTGAAGATATGTGCAGACATGTTAAGCATTGCTTGTCATGACTTTTGTTATGAAACTAATAATTTTTACAGAATTAAGTAATCTGTGAGCACTGTGTACATGCGTGTACATTGCGCCAGACAGTACAGATGCATAAATCAGAGAAGGAGAGGAGGAGATACAGCTGTGAGCTGCTGTTGGGAAGTTGAACTTCACTGCTTTCCGTAAATACAGTAATGTGGAAAAGTCTAAGGCTGCCAAAGAAAATGATGTTTAAATGATCTTCATGATGGTGTAACTCTATGATATTATGCCTGTCAATGTGAGTCAGCTTAGCCATTTCAAAACATCTCCTGAAGTCAACCTAATATTTGCAGCAACCACCCAATACAATCATGTATTTGTTGACTTGACTACTAGGATACCTGGTATGGATAATTGCGTAATGCTTCAGCATACCGAGATATTTTGGATAATTATGTGCTTCCAAATTAGTGGGAAATGTTTGGGGAAGGCCCTTTTCTGTTTCAGCATGACTGTGCCCCAGTGCACAAAGCAAGGCCCATAAAGACATGGTTGGGTGAGTTTGGTGTGGAAGAAACTTGACTGGCCCACAAAGAGCCCCGACCTCAACACCATCAAACACCTTCGGGGATGAACTAGAACGGAGATTGTGAGCCAGGCCTTCATGTCCAACATCAGTGCCTGACCTCACAAACGCTCTTCTGGATGAATGGGCAGAAAATCCCACAGATACCCTCCTAAATCTTGTGGAAAGTCTTCCCAGAAGAGTGGCAGCTGTTATAGCTGCAAAGGGGGACCAACTCCATATTGATGCCTATGGATTTAGAATGGGATGTCATAAAAGTCCCTGTAGGTGTAATGGCCAGGTGTTCTAACACTTTAGTCCGTATCTATAAGAACATTATATCAATGATGATGCCCTGTCAGAGATGAGCCCCCCGCTGCCTCATGCTCACACCGTGACGGCCAGCTGGCAGCCAATGGCGTTCACCCACCAATGTTACGGACAGCTGCAGGCCGTCGGCAGCTCAGTACCACCGCTGTGGACACTAGGGTGGCATGGCTGAGTGGGGCCAGCTGAGGACGGGCAGGACCAAGAGAACTGAGAGCAAAATTGGAGGGGAGGGGAGGGGCTGCCCTGGGGTTGGGTGTGGCTCAACAGGTTAGGCTGCTGTGCCTGTGATTGGTAGAGCCCCGGAGGGGAGGGGAGGGGCTGCCCTGGGGTAGGGCATGGCCCAACAGGTTAGGCTGCTGTGCCTGTGATTGGCAGGGCCCCGGCTCAAATCCTGTAGCTGGCTGAGGGATCCCATCAGTGGGCCCTGAAGCAGTTGCTCCAATGACTTGCTGCTGGGGCCCTTAGTGGAAATCTGGGCTGGTGCAGCACCCTGTTCAGAATATTCAGCCATGCCGCTTTACTGATGTGTGTCTCCATGGAATGGCAAATCAGAATAAAATAAATGTTGGTCTGGTGATTTTGAGTTTTTTTTTTTTTTGTCTTTTTTAGATTTTCATTTAACTATTTGCCTTTGTATAGAATAGATGTGGCAGTAACTGATAAGTATTATTTGAGGTTGGAAAACATCTCCTGTGCTTAAGGATTATTTAGCCAACCCAAACTATTTAAATAAATTCAACAACAATGCAATATAACAATACAATTGTCATAATCCTGGAAAAAAAAAATCAAAAAAGGACAAATTCTCTTTATGCATCAGAACCAGGCTGTAGCAAGTGTAATAACACATTGTGATCTGTTAGGACATACCTACGATATGTCATTGTGCAGAAGGTGTTAAAATGGGAGGTAACATACAAATGTCATCAATGCAAATTTGCATGAAATGAACTTCTATTGCTATTATTTTTAAGTGATATACACCAGTAGTACAACATTAATACATTTATTAATAAAGCCCAAATTGCTAGTTAGCTAATTCATTACATTCAGTTATGGTGGCACACAGGGATGGATTAAGGTGTACAGAGGCCCCTAGGCTACAGTAGTCTGTGGGCCCTTCAACCCCGCCTGCCTCCGCGCTAATGGGGGCCCCCTTGCAGGCTGGCACACGTGGGGCCCCTAGGCTTAAGCCATATCTAGCCTGTGCGTTAATCCGCCCCTGGTGGCGCAGTGGTGAGCACTGCTCCCTGGGACCTGCGTTCAAGTCTCTGCCAGGGGTCCGTGTGTGTGGAGTTTCTGTGCTCTCCCTGTGTCATCGCGGTGTTTCTCCTGGGCATGCTGGTTTCACCCACAGTCCAAAAGAACATGCTGTGGCTAATTGATGGGTTGGTATCCCATCCTGCCTTGTTCCCTGCCTTGTGCCCAAAGACTCCAGGCTCCCCGTGACCCTGAACCCAAGTGGTTTCAGACAATCAATGGATTATATTTGGTTATGTTGACACTGCATACATAATGGGAACAAGAACAATGAACCTTTTGCTTACTGATATAACTGTCTCGTTAGGTATGTTTATATTGAATTTATTAAGCCATAGATATATACAGTATTTATATTGTAATGTAATACTATTGCTTAAACCAATAGCAACATAGAGCTACAGCATTATACACTTCATCTATAGTTGTACATTATTGGTCTATCTCTATATATGTTGCATTTGCATAAAGAATATTTTTGATCAAGTGTAATATGATGATCTCTGTAGTGTTACAAAAATAAAATTTTATCACCTAAAAAGAGGATATTCAGAAATAAACTCAGCATTAAATATAAGGTCAGGCAGCAACACACTACATCCCAGAATCCTTGAGTACAGTTGCTTAAAGCTAAATTTGCACACAGTTCACATTTTACAGCCTGATGAAATTGTCCACATCACTATAAACACACATCCATAAACTACATGAGCCGTTCTGATCAATTACCTCTCACTCACATCACTTTGCCGTGAGTCTGAAAGTTCATTTATCATCATTTTCTGGGAAGTCAAATGCATATTTAGACAAGCAGTTATGTGAGTAAACAACCTCTTTTACACAGGGAACTGTACAGATGAGCAGATGTGTTACATCCATCTATCCATCCATCTACCCATCCATCTATCCATCCATCTACCCATCCATCTACCCATCCATCTATCCATCAATCTACCCATCCATCTATCCATCCATCTATCCATACATCTATCCATCCATGCATCCATCTACCCATCCATCTATCCATCCATCTACCCATCCATGCATCCATCAATCCAGCCTGGAGCCAGTTCTTATGCAGAGACACCAGTTTACCTAGCCAGATGTTTTAGCAGGAATAAAACATATTAGGGTCAAATACTTTAGTGTTGTAGTAAAATGGATAAGACAGTTGGTACCCATCCTGAGACATACTCACAGAGGCACATCGATCTGTCATACAGCATTAAGAAAGAGGTTATCTGCTCTGAAGGAATCCAAATAGAGGTGAACTGTCATGATCATTTTATTTTTTGGATTAACTCTGCAATTTCTTGCTGCATAACATATTTTAGGTAGCTAGGGCCCAGGTCTCCCACAATGCAGACCAGATTAAGTGGTTGGAAAATGAATGGATGGATGGATGGATGGATGGGTGGGTGGGTGCATGGAAGGATAGATGAAGGTGAGGTGTTATGGTGGTGTATATGGTGTGCAGGTGATATAAATAGGCCGGGTGAACAGTGTAAGTTGTTGGCTTTATTAAAGGCAAACTTACTTTCAAACACAAAATAGGATATAGTATGAGGTCATATTAAACGATAGTATAGTCGATATTAGAATGATTGCTACATAGCTTCAAATTTCATCTACATGGTCACTGCTACCTGAGATTCAACCTAAGACCTTGACCGAACAACCCAAAACACACAGAATTCCCACAGAGATGAGAAAAGTGAAATTTAATCTACTCTGAGACCTCTCAGTCTTCATAACCCGCACAAATAATATTAAAATTTCAGTTGGAGAAGATTCAACTCTCAAGAGACCACTCAGATTTCAGACAGAGCACACTCAACACACACAGAGATTGGAGTTCAGGCAAAACACACTCACCCCACACACACACACACACACACACACACACACACACACTGTAAGGACTGAACACACAATCATCACAGTCACCATTCAGAGTTCAGACTCAACACGCACAAAAATTGCTCAGTGTTCAGACAAACCACAGACAATCGTCACCGATACCACTCAAGCAGACAGGACCGCGGAGAGTTCAAACAGAGCACCCTCAACCCTCAGAGAGACCACGCAGAGTTCAGACAGAGCACATTCAGCCTCCACATAGCCTACTTTCTCTGTTGAGTTCATAGACCAAAATTACCCCTGTGTCTCAATTAGCTTTAAAGCAGAGAGGAGTAATTATTAATTAATTAATTAATTAATTAATAAACAAATAAATAAATAAATAAATAAATAAACAAATACATAAATAAATGTAATTACTAAGTCTTCACAAAAAATAATTTTCATATAAAATTCCGACTTTAAACTGTGGTGCTCAATCACTCGCACAGACATTTTTTCATGAATATGGGAAATTCTGGTTGTTTTATTTTATTCTAAATTCACGTCTATATTGACCTCTTAACAGAACCTTGCACTGATGTTTGTAAAAGTACGGCTTTCGCAGTCTTAACTTGCCACAGCATGCAATCATACTGATTACAGAAAAAGCCAAATCGGTCAATTCACATAAAATATAGATGAAAATATTAATTACCTACTACAGGCATTCCAGCACGATGTCTCAGTATTTCATCTAAGATTATCATTAACAAAAGAGGTCAGAATAAGGACGGCGGAATTAAAATATATACTCATTATCCGTAATATTTTCGAGCAGAAAACCTACCTCTTCCGAATTACATTATTGACTGTCCTATTCTGTCCTCTCGGTAACGACGATAATGCCTCTGCCGATGACTACAGTACTGGAAGCTCCCCGATCGCAATGTGTGGCTTGCTATCCTTGGTAGTTTGGTACTGGGCAGGCAGCCCATCCGCTGCTGGGAGTACGGGGCACGACGAAACAGCTCGGTCCGTAGCGAAGGCATCATCATCATCATTCACCGAGGCGCGATCCAGAGTCTCTGACACGTCACGAAACTATATAAGTGCATCGCTGGATGTGGACGAAGGCATCAGCCACTCTTTGCTGGTAACGGAGGGTCCTCCCCCCATTTCGAGTTAAATCTGGGACTCCGGATGCCAAATATAGGTCCTATAGAAAGGGGGAGCTGTCCAGGTGCTGAAGCGTGATAGACCCGCGGTGAAGTATAATAAGCAAAATAGTGTGCTGATGAAACGTGGGTAAGACTGCACACGTCCGGATATATATTACTGCTTAATTAGTATTAGAAACATACCAGGAATGATCAGAGATATAAGTGTAGCTTCAACTTGAAATTTTTGCTTGTCTCGACTCTCCGATATATTTTCCTAAAATATATATTTAATACGGGAATGCATTTAGAGTCCATGGCAATCGTCTTAAGCGTTTGCTATTCAGCTGTATTAGACACTGGATGGTTAATTACAGCGCACACCAATCAACTCCCCCCACCCATCTTTTTCACAAACCGAACTGAAGGGGATGAGCTCTTGCCGTTGTGCTACACTAATGGAGACATTATGTATAACTCCAACATTTTTTATAGAATATACGTAAACGGTAATTATGAAATTACACTGTAAGCGAGGATTAAGTTGCGTTTGGTTGGGCGGTAATTAACAAAAGAATGACACTTGACTTTACTGTTTATAAAGGTAAATTGTGATGAAATCAATTCACTGTGCTCAGAGGTGAGCATCGCCTCAAAAATTCCAAACGTTAAACGAAAGCTTAAGAAATATACTTCAGAATTTAGGCTAAAAGTAATTGAGGGATTACAGGTGAATTGTCACTTATTATTAAAACATTTTAAATACACGAATGGAATAAAACTCGTCAATTTTACCGTTCGCTTCAAACGTTTCGTTGTTAATATTCCCGCAATCCGTTAATGGATAAGCAGCCGGAAGATGGACTGACATGGATGGTATGTGAAGGTTAATCAGTGTAGGCCTGTGTATGTATTTGAATTAAAAGGTCAATGACTCAAAGAGCCGCGCAGGGGTGAAGCAGGTCCTGATTGGCTCACTAAGTTAGATCTATGACAAGGTTTTATATACAAGTGCACTTATAGGTATCTCAATTGGGGCCTTCAATTTTTTACATGTTCCATCAGTAGCCTACATTTAGTGACACCGCTTGATTAAAACACCGAATTCTTGACTTCTGAAATCTAGTTATTCACAGGCTATTATTTAAAAATGGATTCATTTACACACTGGTAATGTCAGTAAAGCACAAGGCACGTTGCAGTTCAGTAAGTTTTTTGTGTGTGTGTGTATGTGTGTGTAAGCTAGATGTGGTTATTGTGTCACTGTGAGCAACATCGGGCTAGGCTGTGCCAACCTGCACTGGTTTGATCAGAGTCACATTTTATCGGAGAACTGTATCAGTTAAACAAACACAAACTTTTCATAATAAATCTGATAAACTAGAGCAGCATTTACATGAGAATTTCGCTGAAATTTGTTTAGGGGAATGAAAACGCGCACGGAATTGCCTTACAAATGTTAGAAAACATCTGACACACGATAGTCTTCCTGAATGGAGCGTGTCCTGACATGCAAAATGCAGATTACCGAAACAAAAACCATTTACACCATCCCTGAGCAACAGAAACATGACACTACTGTAATTGACGGCTTAAGCAAACACCTGGAGACACATTCATTTAGTCATCTTATTTTTTTTATTTTAGGATTATTAACAATGATCGGTGTAAATTATGAAAACGTTTATTTTTTGCCAACATGGATGATTCACACGCCCACACTTGTTATTAAAACAAAAACATAGGCAGCTTACGTGTATACAGGTTTTTCTTAAAGGGTGTTTGTTTGTTAAGCGGCCGAATATGAATACTAACATTACTTAGAACAAATCATGATGGATTAGCACACAAATTCGGTTTATTTTATTATCTGGATTACTCTCGATTATTAGTGTAGTAGCCTAAGTGTTTGCTGTCAAATTGGATATGGGCAGTTGGGGAGTTCATGTTGTAACACGTTTTAGTTTATTAAGCATCTGATTGTAGAAAAAGCGTCAGTTTCTTTGCAACAGAAGCGTACGTCGTTTTATGAATGATGCAAGGTAATGATCCCCAAAACAAGATCGTCATGAAGGTTTCCAATAAGGCACACCGCCTCTCTCCATTTTACAGTCATTACGTCTCATATTCTTTACATCATAGGGCGTTTATGAAATCAGAGTGCAGTAATTCAAAGGGAGACGCGACGTGGCGTTTAAAGGCGAGCGCCAGCGGCATGGCGGTCCTCTGGCTGGAAGGTTTTGTGCAGCCCAGCCTCGCAGCCAGATTAAGCCTCTTCTTCATTTCCATATAATGGCAACTTCGCGACCGCAGAAGAAACTATGTAAACAGATCACACAAACGCAAGCTTCCTCACAATGATCTTCATACCGCGGGCTTCATTTCACTTCCCCTTCTGCATTGTGAACATTCCTCCTCTGATATATACCTCTTCGCTTCACAAAAGTATTTTTTTAACTGAACAGGACAGAGTAAACGCCGTATATCCCGAAGGACACATGGCTGTCACTCTCTGCTATTCGGCATCCGGGGATGCGTCATGAACAGTACTGTATTTGTTTTTCGGCTTAAAAAGCCATAGCTGCCCCTGATGGTAATTTTTCGCTTTGACCTTATAGTACTACTACTGCAATTCACTCCTAACATTATACTATTCTTTAATAATATTATTACATCTAGTTACGAACATAGGTCACTTTCAGCGTCACTGTTCTCTAGAACCACGATGCTGCCAGAAAATTTGTTTGATGCATTTAATTAATAAACAAATCAACCAATTCATAACTTACAGTAGACAAACTTACAAAATGTAAGGGGAACTATAACGTTTTAGTGCACTTCCACACTTCTCTTGTTATGAATGGGAAGATCAAGCTCAAGTTGTACGCAAACCGGTATGTAGGTTTCTGTATCAATCTACCATGCTGTCTGTGACCCTATGAGAAAGTGCATTAATAGCTGTGTCACTAGCAATGTGGACAAACTGCAATCACGACATTTCTCACCTATAGAGAATATACCCACGCCCGTTTTACTGACGATTAAGTTTCGGAACGTAATGTCATTCTAGCTAGAGACTGACTCACTAGCACAGAAACCACGGCGGTTGTGATCCAATTCACTTCTTGAAGGTAAGCTCTAAGTTTTATATATATACTCACAAATATTCTGTGATTTATCTGTCTATGTAAATTGACTTAATAGTTCCATGTATAAGACCAGCCACTGATAAGACTTAGTTACTCTTTTGCTTATAAACATTTGCATTTATGCTACACTCGTGTCAGTACAGGTGCATACAGCAGAATTACGGTTCTGCATGCCTTTTTCCTGAATTTCAAACAAAGACGGGAGATTTGTTACATTTAGGCTACAAAATAAAGTGAGAAAACAGCCCAATGAATAACATGGATGAGACTCGTAGTTTTCTTCATTAAGTGTATCATAAGCTCGATAGGAAGACAGATGATAAGGACACGTAAACAAAAGATGTCATCAGCAAATACATACTAGCTGGGCATACATATTGCTCCATGAGTGTGATGTCACGGCATGAGCCAATTTCAGCACCCCGTGTGGTCTTTTAAGACAAGAAAACGACTTTCTCGATGACACAGTAAGTAGTGCGAGGGTTTATATCCTACATATGAGTACATGTTGATGCAAACATATCCGTCATTGTATTATTGTCATACAACTCATGTCATATGTGACAACCTTTCCAGCTGCCTGAATGCGCCTTTTGTTGGTCAAACATATTTATTACTAAATAAGTATTAATCTGCTCCTGCATTTTTTTAATTTATGCGATTTTATACTGCGTTTTCTCATCCTTTCAGGTGAAGTTTCCTGCAGGAATTTCTATATTCAGAAAGAAAAAAAGATTCTCAAATGATGGCAGATAAAAATATCCAAGGTAAAGGAAAACAGGATAATCATTTGAAAATGTAAACTCTGAGTCCGTAATTTCCAGCACCATAGTGGAGGCTCTTTAGCACAGGGCAAAATGAAGAGGCAGAAATCCCATTAGGGAGGTACCGCAGTGCTTTGCACAGGCTGACACAGCTGCCTACTGACCATATGAGGCGCAAATGGCCTTTTGTAGAGTCACCTGCGTTCTGTCATTTGGGTTAATGATGGACCTCTGTTTTTTTTTTTTTTTGGTAGAACATGGCAACCTCTGTAACGCTTCAGAGGCCTCATACTGTACCAACGGGGGGACGTGCTACCGGATTCCTGCCATGCCTACAATCACCTGCATGTAAGTTACCTGTTACCTGTAAGTTACCTGTACTCTAACTGAAGGTGATGCTCGGAGCTCTGAAGTGACATATAGACTCGGACCGCAATCTACAGCATAATACAGCTCAGCTCAATAGTGGCGAATGTCTCCCCCAGACATCCTGAACGTTATTAGTCTAGTTTCTAGGGTTAACTCTTTTTTTAGCCTACTCACTAACCTATTGGCAAACGCCATGACTGTTTGCAGATGTAAAAATAACTTTAAGGGCAGCAGATGTGAGGAGTTTCAGCTCTTCAGCCAGTCGGATACAAGCGATGACGCCGGCCTGATCGCAGCCGTGGTCGTCTTGGTCATCCTCATCCTAATGGCGCTAACGGTCGTCATCTACCTCATCTTCAAGTGAGTAAAATGTGGTCCTTCATGGGCCAATTGTTGAGCAAAAAATAAATAAATGTATCAGTCATCCAACAAACTGGACAGATATTTGATGTACTACATACTATTACTAGTTACTATATATTAGTTACTGAGTAGTTTGTTAATGTTATTCCTTGCTAGTTAAGGGTTTTTCTGTGAAAAAACGAGCATCTTTAAGTGCTCCAAATGCCAGGCCTGTGACTTGCCTTTGGTAGAAAACTGTGGAATTAGCCAAAAATGGTACAAAACAGACTCATAAGCAGCACATTAGCTAAGCAGTGAACAATATCTACTCACGATTCGAAGGTTCCGCCTGTGGAAGATTTCCATGTTTTCTGTCTTTTACTTACCATTTCAGAAAGAGTGGGTGACATTATACCACTCCTTAAAGTTTGGTGTGTAATTTCTGAAAATAACACCCTTCATGCTATATACATAAACACATATTTTTGGGTCTGCTGAGTATTGGTCCGCCATTCTCAGAGCCCTGAATGAGTTCTTAAGTCAAGGATCATCAGTAGGGGGCTGTAGAGACCAGGCCACACACTCATGTGTGATCCACTCTGTCACACCTCACAGGCTGTGGGCCCAGAAGAAGAAGGCCCAGAAGCAACAGAGAAACAGACCGTACCAGCAGGTACCGCGCAGGGTGTGAGACCAGCGACCGGGGGAACATCACGACATCCTCTCCAGGCGTTGATGAACTGAGCGGCCTGTGAGGATAAAGCCATGAATGACCCACAGTGGAAGGAGAGAAAGGTGCCTGCAGTTGGCCATTAAGCACGCAGCTTCTCCTGCCTGTCTCGCTGCTGCTCTGCATAGCTCCCTGCCGTGGGCGTTTTCTCAGCAGACCAGACGGACCCCCAGAGGCAGGACATCTCAGTGGATCCTTTCTGACGAAACCAAGCATGTACAGACGCTCCTCTACTTACGAATGAGATACGTTCCGAACGGCTATTTGCAACTTGAAATGTTCGTAAGTCGTTATTCTACATCATTTTGAGGGTATACACAAGTACAAAGAACTAGGAAGCTGGGAGTACACACGCTACACTGCTGCGCGGCGTGAGTAGCGGCCAGAAGTCGTACTAGGAGGAATTGGCGCGCAGAAAAAAAAAATTGATGTTGCAGACAGGAAACGGGAGCCCAAATAAACACAATTTGGTCCTTTTCATTCGTATGTCTGAAAGTTCGTAAGTTGAAAGTTCGTAAGTAGAGGAGCGTCTGTATATTTATTTCCATTGCCAGAACATAATGCTGGCTATTTACCACTGATAACTTGCTGCAATTGAATCCTATGCAAAAACCAGAATCTTATTTTTGATATATGTGATGCCAATTCAGAGCTGCGTGACGGAGTGCAAAGTACAGCCAACTGAATGCACAGGGCTGTCCTTCTTCAGTCACTTTTTAATCATTTGTATAGTTTCCTTTATGCCATTCCCTGTTTCCTGTTAGTCAATAAAAAGGCAGCTTGTCATTACGAACACACCTTTTTTTGTAATCCTCTGGTGTACTGGATTGTTAATCATGTGAATAGTGACACCAGCTTCTCTTCAATGGTATTACGGATTAACATGAATCATTTACTCTTTAAAGCATTCACAATACTCAGCTACAGTAACGAGAAGTTCCTCCCACGCAGTTCGTGTGATTTTTCATTCACACACAGGAGCCTCTTTAACGTTTGATCATTATCAATTAACTGTCTGCCACAGTCACCCTTCCAGTTAGAAGAATGTGTCTTACAACACAGAATCAACCAGAAAGACTTTTTTTTTTGAAGTTTTATTTGACATGTTTGAAAAACTGAAGGATTTGATTTCTGTACCCTGTAGGCTGCTCATTCTAATGCCCATATTAGCTTTGTTTATCGCTACCTTAAGTCAAATCTTGACATCAAAAAGCAGTAACTCCCATCCTGACTGATGAAAGGTCAGCAACTATGCAGCTAAGTTCACTACCAGTCAAAAGTTTTTCTACATTACAGGTTTTTAACAATTTACCAATTTCCAAATTTTTATATATTTTAACTCTGGTTTAAAATATAATTGGGAAAATAATCTAAATAATGAAATCTCAAGGAGCAATGAGAGTGAGATAAAGAATTTGCTATAAAAATTCATGGAAAGCAGTGAACAAGCATGGAAATTGCCATGGAGGCATATTGTTAGTTGGACTGACTGTTGACGGCCTATTACTGCCACAATTTGATAAACCAACAGCATTTCCCAGAATTCCACAGGTGAGGCACACAGCCACGTCTGAGCACCCAGTTACACAGAGCTCACCCACGCCATGTTGCTGGCCTGCAGGCATGAGTGCTGGACGGGGACCCTCCACAGAACCGTTAAGCTTCCTGTCAGCACGCTGCAGAAAGTCCCCCAGAAACCCAGAGGAATCAACGTTGAGGACAGACTGACTTGTTTATTGGGAATGTTAATGACAGAGGAGGTGAACACACAGGTGCATATGCAACGTAGAGAACTCCCGCTCACTTTATTAAGGCCGAACAGCGTGAAATGTGTCCAAACTCCCTGTAATAAGACGCAGCGAGAGCTAATCTTCACAAATGGCCCCAAAAATGTTCCGCTTGAGGAAAATTCAATTTTCCCGAAATGAAAAAGGACAGACACCAAACAGGAGGGGAGCCGCTGCGGGGCAGCAGCGAAAACAACCGAAGGGCTTCGAACCCGGGGCACGTCACAGCAGAGGTCGCCGAGGGCAGTGCCGCTGTCTGCAGGTTCGATTCACGGTGGGGGACACTCAAAACGTAAAAGTCCACAATTTACTGAGACAATCAGGTCAGCTCCTGTCATCATGTCTGTGAGGATGGGCATCTCTTCCCTTGAAATCACACTGCACGAACTGAAACGGACCTTCGAAGTGACAGCATTACTGTCCTCTAATACTGCATTGGGGTGGGGGGGGGGGGGGGGCTGGAAAAGAGCCATTTGTAAATCTGGAGCAGCAGAGGATTCACTAAAGGCCACAGAAAAACACTCAAATTAAACAACCAGAGGTGGTCAATAAGTAATCACTTAATGTCAATAAGAAAATCCAGTCACATGGCACACAGAAGCAAGGCTCACAGTGCGGTATGATGGGCTGAGCAGCAAGGTCCACACAACCAGAGCAGGGGGCGGGCCTTCAGAGGCCACGCCTCAGCCCATCGCCATGGCCACACCAATCAGGCGTGGTTCACACTAACACGCATAATGATGCTTTATTGCACAATAAAAAGGATGAAAAGGGGAGGAACCCTCTGTCTGACCTCCACGGGGTGCCCCTATCGATTTCGTTTCTGGGTGACTGACCTGCCCCGCCCTGAGGGACTCACATTCGAAGACGAGCACCGGTCAGTACTCGGGCATCGTCGGCATGCGTCTCTACCTCAATGGCAATCCAAAGCGCGAGACCAGAGCAAAAATGCTGATAGCAAGGATTTCAGTGTGGGGAAAATACGGCGCTTCGACAAAAGCTGGGTCTAAATGGCCGAAGAAAGATCTAGTTAATGCTGGGGATGAACCGGAGTAACCTCTGCTGGGACTAAAGACACAGTTACTCTATCCTACAAGATGCCGGTTTGTATCACACCGAGCCACAAGCCGTCAAGGAGGCGGAGCCGGAAGGCTGAGAGAGCAGGCGTGGGACGGCACCGAGGATCACCCGCCCCCCCCGGCCGGCTGCCCCTCCCCCGCAGGCCGCTATCCCAGGTGCACCAGCGTCATGACGGTGGTGAAGCCGTGCTGGAGGCCGTCGGCGTCCGAGTTGGTCAGCATGTAGTTGCCCGTGACGATGCGGTCGCAGCCGATCTCACCGTTGCCGAAGAAACCGAAGAGCGGGATGCTGGGAAAGACCTTGCGGAAGGCGTGCACCTCCACGTCGCGCTGGTTGTAGTAGTTCTGGCCGCGGCCCACGCAGGCGAACATGAAGCCCAGCGTGTTGTGCTCGGGGATGCTGGCCGCCTTCAGCCGCTGCACCGCCGCCTCGGCCGCCTTCTCTGTGGTCACGTCTTGGTCCAGAAGCACCGAGGCCCCCTGGACCCGAGGCCCGCTCAGCGTCAGGCCCACCACGCCGTATGAGCCCCGCCCACAGCTACAGAGGGCACACAGCACAGTCACGAAACACCACCAGCAACAGCTCATTTTAACCATAAACTCTTTCCCTATTGGTATTTCGTATGGCACGTACTGGTTTGAACTGTGGTAATTTACACACACACACCACAAAGCCAATGAAAGTGAAGCTCACCACCAACCAGCCAGAGTACAAATCCATCACTAATTAGCCAATGAGATTTGAGAAGATGAGTTTGAGAATCATATAATGCTCTCACCATATCCTGGAGTGGGAAAAGACACTCTCCACATGGCCCCCAGCGACGAGGACACTGCTCTGTGCCAGAGGCTGCAGAATATGGTGCAGGAAGCGTGGGCCGCCCGCCTTGAAAGCCTGGTAGCCGAACAGGAGCACTACACGCAGTTCGGGGTCACCCACGAGACCTGCGATGCAGCAAGAACCCAAACGTGTGGCAGGCAGCCTTCTGCAGCACCAAGACCTTCAGTCACACCCATAAACACATTTCCTACACACTCAGGGATTATTGGTACAACAGGTTCCTGCAGGGGGGGGGGGGGGGGGACAGTCAGGCAGGCGACTGGGCACCTACCTGCTTCCTCCAGGGCTGTCTTAGAGAGTGTCTGCTTGCAGAAGTGGAAGGGCCTGATAGTCACCCCATCCATGCTGGGGATCATGAGGGCGAAGCCGGCCTCCCCTTCCTGGTGCTCCTGCGGCTGGCTGGAGGGCTGCCCACTAGGGGTCACTGCAGGGGAAGGAGAGATCCACATGGAAATGTGTCTGGTCTCATCTCTGCTTGACCGACTTATCCACAGAAACACACCCACCCTTGCACAACCCTAAGCAAATGAACCACTTAACACTCCATAACTGGAACAGACAAAACTGGTTCTGGTCTTACAAGTAAGGGGTGCAATGTAGTGAAAACAGACATTTCACCTTATTTTGTAAATCGACTTAACAACCCAATGATAAAGAGGCACCTGAAATCAGCATAAATTAACACTGAGGCTTCCTCATCAGACAGAACTGAAAAAACGAAGCAGTGCTCCCTTACACACAATGCCAGGGGTGGCGATCCCAAGGATGTCACAGCCTTTGGGAAACAGTCTTTTGAGGTCCTCAGCCACGTCAGAACTGCACATGGTCTTTGCTGCAAGAAAAAAAAGTTAATGGGTGGGCAGAAATTTACAAAAAGTCTGTAAGAGCGCTTCTTTGCCCGTGACATGCACAGATTTTCAGGGGCAGGTGCGTGAACAGGGGGGATATGCTCTCTCAGAAGATTTTGTGTGTTTTTGTGTCAGTTATCGGAAAGGGGTGTTTATACATCAGGGCTACATTCATTCGTTCAGGTGGGGCAGCCCCCCTCCCCACTTGTGCCTGCTCTTTCCCTTTTATCTGAACTTCACTAATGGATCCTACCTTTTTTCGGCCAGTAGGAACGTCCATTGATGGTCTCGCTGTCGGCCATTAAAAGAACCGTCTGTGGCAGCAGGTAAATGTTCTGTAAATATCAAAATGACAGGTGCAGTGTATTAACTTATCGGTCACCATAACATGGGCAAAGTGATCAAATGTCCCAGGATGCAATGGCAACCAGCACCTCGACTTCTTCGGCCAAAGTCCTGTAGAGAACGTGTCCTTCTGAGCTGGAGGAGCCGGTGGCTGACACCCAGCCCAGCTGCTGCTGGGTCCTCAGTACCCGACGAGCGCAGTTCCTCCACAGGCGACACACGCTGTAGATAACACGCAAAATGTTAACTACCGCACATCGTTAAATGCCATCGGTGTTACAGGCAACAGCCCCGCTTCTTTGGGAGGAAAGAAGATCTGGAACTATGGCTCCAAAGCTACAACGTTAAAATATTCAACACATTAACTGGAAACGTCAGGGCACCTTGATCCTGACGTAACTCGTTGATTTACTTTTATAACAGCAAGCAAATGAGGTAAGACTTTGCAAGTCGCAAGTTCAACTGAGAGTGAAAAAAATCTATTGCTTATACTGACTACAAAACCACATCGGCAAATAGCGTTATGGTGTCTTTAGTATTGGATACTAATATATCGCTGTGAATCCCACTTTCATAAACCATATATTTTTTTAAATTATTGCACTGAAAGCCGAGCCTACGATGATGCCCTTTGCAGACCAGTGGAGGCGAATCGCAGGAGCTCCGCCGACTATTACCAGATACTTTCAGGCACAGTCAGCCCCTCTTGCTTATTAGTGTAAAAAAACACCGTTAAAATAACTTTGCGAAGCTCTACTTCTCAGTCACCATATCGGACTCACACATAAGCCCCCCCAAGTTATTTTCGGGAAGCGAGGACGTCAGTAGCTAACCAGGTAACCAGGTGCTTCATACCAAGCGCTACGGAGAAGTGACTTGGTCGGCACGAACGTCAGTATCCTCTCCACTACTTCGGCCACATTGCTGAGGATGTAACCCGCTTTGCTTCCATACTCAGCGTTTAAACAATCGGTGTTTACATCCATATTTCCCTGAAAGCGACCCAGCACATCCGACAGCTTGTCCTTCGACCTCCTGACCCCGGAAGAGGAAGCCGCTGTCTTTTCCTGCCGAGACGTCCCACTGCTGCCACCTAGCGATTTCCCGCTCTAATAGACATTCCAGACTTTGACTAGAAGCCGTTTGAGAAACGAACTATATATCAGTCACCGACTGATTTAATCCTGCTACTCACTGACTGATATATGTTCCCGGTGGGCTAAGCTGAGCAATGATTGTTCCCCCGTCGTGGGCTTCATCGAGACCATATTTTTTCCAGTATTGCTAATTTCATTGCTTTTGTGTTTATTGTTCTGTCATTTCCTTAAAATTTCATACTGGTATGAAGGATTCTCCACATTTCAACAGATGATACTTTAACCTTATATCGCCAAAAGGGCTCCATATACTGGGTATCAAGGAACATTCATCTTTTTTTGTCAAGGGAGCACCAATACATCAGTGTTTCTCAAACCAGTCCCCAGCGACTTCAGATGTTCCATAATTTTGCTCTCTCCCAATTCCTTTGGAGTTGGGAGGGAGTGAAAACATGGACTGTCTGGAGATCCCCAAGGACTGGTTTGAGAAACCCTGCAATAGATAATGTTGCTGATTTACCTGAGGATACCAGAGGTGAATAGTTCAGGTCCAGAAAGTACAAATCCAGACCAGATTTTGTTTCAACTTACAAGTTCAGTTCAAGTTCGACTTGGGCTGAGAGGTGCTGCATGATCTATCTTAAGTCTTGCTCTCACGAGGTTTTTGTACCATGTGACATGACAATAAAAACTTTGAATCCTTTAAGTAAATGAATATGATCTTTTTCCTGGATCTTTTTACACAGGGCCACTATACACAATAGTTTTATTCACTGCTAACAGTTTGTATCAGGAGTTGGTTATTGTAAAAGAAGCAATGTGCATGCAGGTGATATTTGTATAGATTTATCTACACCCTCCTGGCAGTCAGATCTCACAGACTACAAGTAGAAGTTGTCCGACTTGGCTGCAGTCAGGTTATACTCTAGCCCTTCAGCCAACGGCAGATCTCGCTCCACGTCACGTCAGTTGCAGACAGACCTAAGCCCAAGTCGAACACACCCATAGTCACAGACTGAGTACTCAACTGGTTGGTTGAAACTAAGTCTTGGTCTGGATTTTTACTTTCTGGACCTGAGCTATCCATCGCTGGAGGATAGTTAGTGGTGGAGAATAACATTCATTGAAGCAACCCAGTAAAGTGTCTCTGAAGTGTTGGTCTTATTGTACAAATTTTACAACCGTACAAAGTATATATACACATAACATGCCTGTGAGAAATGTGTGTATCCCTGCAAATTCCCCCTTCAGATGGAACATAGTTTACTTTGTACTCTTATTATACAGCATCTGAATGAAACCCACATGCTTACTGTTTCATGACTTCTGAAGTGTAGCACAAGCAAACAACACACAAGTGATTATCAATTTTAATTTACACATCAAATGTACAAAAATAATTGACATAAAAAAGCTACTTTGAAAGTAACCGTCGTGCATTTTTGAGAGCCAGCTGGCGACCCGGCTTCATTGGCACTGATTCGAGTTGCCGGTACGCACTCTGTCCGTCGTCAGCCTCTCCTGGCTTTGTCAAACTCCTTGGCGATCTTCAAGGCTGTGCTGTTCAGTCCCACGGACTGCATGTTTATCAAGACAGCAACGACCACTCCCCTTGGGGGGGTCGGCACCTCGTTCGGGGGCTCCTGTGCTTCCTCAGGCAGCACCAGGAGCACGCTGCTGGCCCCCACGGCACCCCCTGTGTGCGAGACGTAGTGCCGGCGTTTCCTGCACTGGCCGTATTCCTGATGTTTCTCCACGACCAGCCAGCCCATCCCGTATCTGCCGTCCTTGTCCCAGGAGCCCTCGGTCTTCTCCACCGGAGCCCACACCATGGCGGCGGTTTGGGGCTTCAGGAACCCGGGAAGCAGCTCCTCTTTGTCTTTCCTGTGGGCCATCTGGTGGCTGTACAGCATGGCATTGCCAAACAGCAGCAGGTCGCCCACGGTAGAGAGGAATCCACCCCCTGCCCACTTGTAGGAATTATCCACATAGGGGCAGTTTACAATCCGGCCTTTTTTATTGAAGTGGTAAAACCTGCAGCAAAGACAAACATAAAAAGTAATTAAAATGTGTGCGTGTATGTATATATATATATATATATATATATATATATATATAATTATTCTGCTTGGTTTTTATATTTTAAAAAATATTTTTACTTTAATATTTTATATCTCTTTAACCAGCAGCTAACAAATGCAACTCATGTCACAAACCCACCCCCCAGAGCTGAAAGGAGTGAACCCCCCCCCCCATCACCTGGAGCGGTGGTATATAATGGGGTCGTTCTCTTCGGCCACGGTGTTCAGCATGCCCAGGTCCCGGAACATCTGCGTCATGTGATCCAAGAAGCGCTGGCCCGCGGCCCTCTCCACCACGGCACTCAGCAGGGTGAAGGCGTGAGTGGAGTACAGGAAGGTGGCGCCTACGGAAGAACCCGGAACAAAGCTGTAGGCGGAACGCGGAGGCGAGGTGCCCAGGCAGCACCATTATGATATCCCAGGAGGGTGGGGATGTCCAATAATTCCTTTGGCAGCATCAAAGATGTTATTTTGAGCAAATGCCCATGATAGACAACCAATCACAGAGCATTTAGGCCGAAAAACCCTACCTGGCTTAAAAACAAGTGGGTCATTTTTAAACAGCTCGAGAGCCTGACCCACGCTATCAAAGCTCTGCTTAAGGTAGTATTCCTCCAGTTCAAACTCCCTCTTCTTCTTCCCCGGCCCGTCCTCCTTCTGCTTGACGTCATTGTTTTTTTCTTTGTTGTCGACACCCCTGTCCTCTTTATGCAGCCTTCCTGGAGACCCGGGGGGGCGTTTTGTTTTCTCTTTCTTCTCTCTCACTTTCTTCAAGTCTTTCTCATAGTGGCGTATCCCACTCAGATGGGACAGCAGCATCCGTGTGGTTATGGTTACCTGGAAGAGTGTGTTGGGGGCAGGAGGGTCATAAACCACTGATTTCTTACAGCCCAACAGCACAGAGTAGAAAAACCAGAACTTTCCACTCAGATGCGAGAGGAAGTGTCATATCCACACCCTAGAACGTCCCCTAGGCCCTGTCACTTACAGATTTTCCCTCAAACTCTTTCTCAGGGAACTCAGGCACATATTTCTGCACAGGTATGTCGAGATCCAGGAGGCCTTGTTCCCACAAACGCGCTGCAGCTGTCGTAGTGAGGGACTTGCTGATGCTGGCGATCCGCATCACGCTCTCCGCTCTGCAGGGAACTCGGTTCTCCAAGTCCGCGTATCCCAGCCCTATAAAAGGCACAGGCTCAGCTTAGGAACTCACATGTCCCTTTCGACCACATGGTAATAAACCACCTTTATTTTATATATACCGTGTACTGCATCACGGGTGTCCTGCCTTGTGCCCTGTGCTGCCTAGGATAGCCCCCAGAACCCCCTCACCCCTCCCCAAGCAGAATAAGCAGTCAGAAGAAGGATGGATGGATCTTTTCTGCAAAACCAAAAGAGACATGCACACAAACTGACCTTCTGACCAGACAGGAACTCCATCTACAGATACTCCGACCACAATCCCTGGTGCCCCTACTTCATCCTGGAAAAAGAAAAAAAACAGTGAGTCCAAAATATAATTTAAAGAAATGTTACTTGATGAAAGAGAAAATTGTTTCCACCAAGTGTAAAATAAAAACCATGACATGACTGACATGGTTGTTTATACTACAGGTACAGCTCCACTAGATGCCTTAATAAATAATAATAATAATAATAATAATAATAATGAATACATTATATGTAGACTTCTTGAAACATAAGCTATGGACACGCTTAGTTTATATTTTAAAAATTCTGCCTATAATAAAACACACTGGCTTAATTTATCGCCGTAACCTTCAAACCACGAGTTTTGTGTATCGATAATGCATCGTGCATTTAAAATAAAACACGTATAAACATTATGAAATATGACCCCCAAATACCTGTACCTTTATCCTCTGCAGCAGGTCCCGGCTGACTTTGACGGCACCGTCGTAGCCTCCGTTCCCGGTGCGCTCCCCTGCCGTTTCCTCCTCGCATTCACTACCCACGTACACATGATCTTTTATTCCTAAAGCTAAGACGGAACCGGCACCGACCCCCAGAATCCAAAACCGTAACCGTGCAAACTTAAAGGACGCAAACAGACTGCTTGCGCTTGTACGGGTGCCCCGTCTTTGTTGGTAAACATGCGGACAGTTTCTCGGAAGGTTCCTTCGCTGAAACCGGCTGGTGCGTAAAGAATAAAAACGCACTTTCTGCGGACAGGCGAACTTACATTTCACGATTAAATCATTAATCGCAGAGGAAAAAAACCTAGACATGGCTTTTAAAAAAGCGTTAAAAACAGTGCAAAATCTAGCAGTGCGAAACAACAGCAGAAAAACAAGAGTGGGGCATTGAAGGGGCTGTCTTTCAGTGTGTACATATCAAAGGCTTAAGTAATCGACTCCGGATTCAATGATGACCTGTTACCGGCTGGAGGCTGCTGTACGCCGTGCCTTTTTCACTGCCTGTCACGTGTCCAGCGGTGTCGCACGCGAGGTGCCCGTATCAGAGGCGGACACGCGCGCGGTCGGGGCGCCGTCGCCCTCTGCTAATCTGCCGGCGCCTGCTGCCGATGTTAGGGCACTCTGCCCACAGCTGTTTAATGAGCATTATAGAAACATCCATGATCTGCAAATGTGTTTTACGGCCTTCAATTTGTAGTCTTGCTTTATTGCATAACTGAGATGTTTCAGTCATTCGCTGCACAATAACCCGTGACGTTATTCTATGTCTAGTTAAATGAATTTATTAATTAAAATGCAAGCTATAGTAACGGAGATAAAAAAAAATATTGAATCCTCTTATGGATCGATGCTTTTCTTGTTTCTTCATGTAAGACATTTAATGGTGAGCTGATATAAATTAAGAATGTAAATTAGATACATTGGATATAGGCCAACATTTGCATTATCTTTGCACTGCCCCGGATGGGTTTTTTTTTTTTTTACTGAAGATCATCACTCCATCATCACTCCATCTCACTCAGTCGCCATGAGGCGGCTCGCGGCACAGCCTCCAGGGGTCACTATTGCACAACAGCGATACAAGAATGCTCCCTTAACACAGAGGAGGGACCACAGGAGCACTCTTCAGATGACAGAGCCTTAGGGTTGGCGAATGTAAGGGCTCGTAACAGGACACGCACGATAGTGCCGCTGGTGACCCCAAAAAAAAGCTGTGACGGTATAATGAAGTTATTACAAGTCAATGGGTTTGTGGTCAAGTGCTGAAACTTTTTGTTCATCCGATACCAAGAAACTGAATAAGGGATCCCTAAATATATAGTAATTCCCAAACATACTCATTGTACATATACACTGTATTGTAGACCAATGGGCATCATGCTAATGTTGATGAATGTTAACAATACATGTCAAGTATTTTTTTTTCTGTGTTGCCCCTGCTATAGCGCTAATTTTATAATAGCTAGAAGATGGATGGTTATGACTCGGGTCATTTCCCTGTATTATGCTCAGACTGATGATATTAATGTGAATTATTCTCTTATGTCAGTAAATACAAGGCTTCTTTGCGGATACAGAAACTCTTTAACGACACCCTCAAGTAAAAAACCATTATCTGTAGTCATTACCTATCCATCCATTTTCTGAAACCGCTTATCCTATTAAGGGTCATGGGGGGTCGGAGCTGATCCCGGAGGCTACGGGCACAAGGCAGGGAACAACCCAGGATGGGGCGCCAACCCATCGCAGGGCACACTCACACACCAGTCACTCACACACCAGTCACACACACACCGTTCACTCACATAGAAACACATATGGGCAAGTTGGAAACTCCAGTTAACCTCAGCATCTTTTTGAACTATGGGAGGAAACTGGAGCACCCAGAGGAGACCCCACGGTGACAGGCGGAGAACAAGCAAACTCCAACCCAGGTCCCACAATCCCACAATCATTACCCATAACATATTTTAAAATATATTTAAACAAAATCACCCAGAGTATATGGAGCCTAGTTTACTGGAATCGTGGTGAGGAATGTAGAAGTTTCTACAAAAATGGCTGAGAGTGAAATATTTGCCCTGCAGAGAGCACAGGCTTGCAAATTGCCGTGTATAACCAGGCCCATCGGTGAATTCTCACCTGTCATTATCTGCAAGGTGAGCCGCCGTTCATGTAACAGGCATAGGCAGAGTATAAGCTGACATAAGCACAAGCTTAGCCTTACAAGAAGGCAGTTTGAAATACCCAAAACAGTATTTTCAGTCTCATGCATCAACGTCAAGGTCAGCTTGAGTAAACCATGTTTCCTGTGTGTAACACCTAACCAGTCTGAGTCTCAGTTTTAGTCCTCACTTCCTGGTCGGTGTGCAGAGCTCTGGGTCGGTGCCGCACTTGCTGAAAAGGCCGCGTAACGGCGGCAGGGTGGCTGCGTGGGCGCACTGCTACCTCCAGGGTGTGAATGTTCCCCCCATTTCATGTGGGTTTTCTCCCACAGTACACAGACATGCAGTTAGGCTAACTGGTGTTTCTGAATTGCCCTTAGAATAAGACTATGTCTCCTGTGATGGTCTGGCCTCCCTACCAGGGTGTAGCCCTGCCCTGTGCTGCACAGGAAAGGCTCCAGTACTCCAGTGACCTGGACACGATGAGCGGGTGCAAGATGAACAGATTAAATTTACTTTTGAACCATTAGCAATTAATTTCTCTTTTCTTCATGCATAGCATGAACAATAAACATTGATAAATTACACTGAAAAAGTAAAGCATTACATTAGTAGCCTGTCTGTAATTACATACCCGGTATTTTCCTATCTGCTCAAAATAATCCAGTAGTCCAGAAACTCAAATGCTTCTCAGCCAGCACATAGCACAACACTCCAAAACCAAAAGCACGATATTAACCTTTAAGAAGGAATCCACTTCAGAAAGATGAAAAGAAAAACAGTATGGTTTCCAATTCTTACCATCTTGTGGTGTCCAAACCCACAGGCTCCAATTTTGCGGAGTTTACAAGCGACTGTTTAGGTCAGACATTTTTTACACAGTGTCTTAAAATTAGGAATCCGTTTTACAATTTAATTTTGGTTTTGTACAGATTTCATAAAGGTCATCCAACCACACGACCATTTTAAGTCTTCATTTAGCACTGAACATGCCCATGATGCACTCATTAAATCCATCAGGATTTTCTAGCGTTGCATCAAAAGAGTCAACAAGCCTTTATAAAAGTAATAAAAGTATCTGATGAGACACACAAACCCTTCATACTTAACTTTCCATGGTCAGATATTAAACTGTTTACATCCCAACCACAGGAAAAAAAAACTAAAGGAGGTATTTGGAAAGTACAGCGTGACCACAAACTCTAATACATGACAGTGCACGCAGTTCTCACAATAGCTGATGAAACTGAGCAAGTATCAAAAAACAAGTTTCACACAGATGTTGGTAACTGTATTTGTGTTTCAAATTCTCAGGAAGTAATTCAGTGTTTCTTCGATCAGGAGTTATTTGGGCTATACTGAGTAGGGCATTCTGGGATTGCTGGCTGATCTCCCCTGATGGCTGCCTCTGTCATATTACCTTCCCGTCTCCAGAGAGCAGTATCAGGTAGGAACATGCCAGAAGGCGCAGTCAGGGAGAAAAAACTGTGAGACGCCCCTTGACCTTGTAGACTAGCAAAGTGCTCCTTCGTTTTATTTCTTCGTTTCTGTGATCCACTTCAGCCTGTGCCACTCATTATTAAAGTAAAATTGTCAGCCCAAACATATCCCAAGTTATACTTGCCAAGCATTTCACAATCAACCTAAACAATTTTTCGGAATTAATTAGATAAGGTGTCATGGCTGAAGGTTCTCAATGAGAAATTTGGAAGTTCTCTTCTTTAGCTTATATATAAGTTATGGGGCTTTTTTTTTTTTTTTTTTAAATTGAGCAATCAGTGTCTGTCCATTTTTCTAAAAAAATCAAAGACTTGTTGTACATTATTACCGAAGGCCTCTAGGGGGCAGCATCTCGGCTGTGTTAAGAGCTTTTGTTTGGTTTAGCCAGACTCTGTTGCGTCTGCTTTCCTCACCGCACCCATCAATGCAAATCCCTCTATTGTGTCAGGATTTGAAGGTCTTCTGTTCATGTCTGTTCAATAGGTGAAGCCAACTTTAACATACATCAAAAACAAGCTACCATTGGCTGACAGAACTCAGACAGAAATATGTTCAATAAGACGGAATGAAAACTCAAAAGAAAACGATAACTTTAGAAAATATTAAAAACTTGCTTTATTGTTATCTATTACCTTTGTACATTTAAAAGGGCAAATTTAATATGTCCACAAACTACACCAGGCAAGAAATTATGACCTCACAATTATAAATGACAAGACAAAAAAAATGCACCGACAGCTAATTTTCCATACCATCGAAAACAAGATATTAATGTAAAATAAATATAAAATGGAGTAAATTCTTTCCTAAATTATAATAAATGGTACACAGCTATTAAAAATAGCGTTTTGGCAAATCAAGTTACCTTTGGTCTGTGTGAAGATGAGATTCTTCATACTTACATTAACTTTCACACCATACACAAGGGCACAAAGAAACAGACAGTCTTGTATGTAGTGAGAATTTGGCTAACATTTATGTCAGTAATGGTAAATTAATCCCAAATTAAGTGCAAATTCTGCCAATCTTGCTTGCTAAAATCACTCATGAATGCCTGTTATGGCTGAAACAGGTGTTCCACATTTGTTCGCTTTTAAATGTCTACTCACTTGAACAGAGTTTGTGAGAAAACTGCACAGTCTAACCTATTCTAACCAGTCAACTTAAAAAAAAAAAAAAAGACATTTTCATACAATTTCAATTTTATGAATGACTGACTTCTGCGGTAGGGGACAGTGGATCTCAACACCCCCCTACCTACTGAAGTGGGAACAACAGCATAGAGCGGCGGGTGGTGTCCGTCCCCTCGAAGTGGCTTGGGGGGGGGCTGGTGTGCTTGGCAGATACACACCACACACCCCCGGCCCTCACATACTATTTAGCTCCATTAGAGTCTGGTCCAGCATCTGCCGCATGTTGAGGTTCTCTTCTTTAGAAAGGGACAGTTTCTCTGTTAGGATACCAGATAAAAAATTAACAATGGCTGTAAAAGGCACCCGGCCCAGACTCTCAGTCTGCACCACTCAATGTATGACACGCATCCATGGGGAAACCACGGTATTTGATAAGTGCTGGTCTGGAGACTGATATTTCAGATCATGCAAGTCACTCTGCCTTGTACATAACATAATCTGACATTAATACAGGGCAAAAAGCATTTTTAATCACATGACTGCCCACTTGTTACCTGTGCAACTCTTCAGTGAAGTCAGGGAAATTTATACAGATTTTTTAAGTCTTTACTTTAGGCCTCAGTTCATAAGCAAAAATGTGATTCTTTTCGAGCTGTTAGAGGGGCGGCGCTGGGCAGTGCATGAGCAGGTCGAGGAAAGAGAAAGAGGCCAGAGAGTTAGAGTTGGAGGAGGATATAGAAATGAAGGCCCTCAGATGGTTACGGTGGTTAACAGTAATATGGGGTCCACCTTCTGCTCTGGGATGGCAGAATCACTGAGGTGGCCTGACAGAAGCTTGACCAGGGAAGGGCCAAATTAGCCAATCTAAACATACAGCTGCATTACACTACTGAGCTAACCAATCAGAAGCCACTGCAGTGTCATGAATTCCTTACATGAAAATACTAAAGGTTCGTTATGTGGATTTCATTTGTCCTGATGATATGTGTACAGACACACAGACACGTACACACACATATTCACCTCATTGTGGGGACTGTCCATTCATTTCTATGGGGAAAAACCCTAATCGCAACAATGACGACCTTAACCCCTATCCAGCCCTAACCTTAGCCATAAGTATCCAAACAAATTACAAGTGTTTTGGCAATTTTTTGTTTTATCACTTCCATCACAGATTTATATAAAACTGAGTTTCCCCTTCCGGTCCCCACAACATTTAAATAACAGGGTCTTATCACAAATGTCCCCACAGTGTAATACATACATGACCCACACAAACCCACCCAGCCACACACAGACACAGCCCTTTACACAGAGCTAGTAAATGGATGGAAGGAATCCAAAGCCTCATATACAATAAATCTCTACACACAAAGGCTTGGACACTCCTCTGCAGCTAATCAAATATTACACAGTATGGACTTCTGAGTGAGCTTTAAGGAGAATTAAGTGTACAACACTACAACACCTTCACTCTCACCGTCTCTCACTCTCTCTAACACACACACACACACACACACACACACGATGAACACTGATTACTCTATGTTCAACTGACTGTGTGTGTGACAGAAACAAACCTGACACATTCTGCATACCATGAGCCCATAATTGTGGTTTCCCAAAACCAAAACATGCGTCAAATGTGCAATTCTTCTTCATCTCAAAGAAACTGACTCATAACCATGTTAAACTGGCTCTTCACAGAGGAGACTAATGTCAAGGCCTCAATAACATACTGTAGCTTTTAAGGTCCTCACTGTTGATGTCCTGCATGAACCCTAAATCCCTTTAAACTAGAATTAAACTAAAAAAAGTAAAAAAAAAAAAAAAGCCTGAATGTATCCATCAGATACAAACTCCTTCAGAAGATTCCAAAACGGACCCAGGTCCAAGCAACCCAGAGCAGGCAGACAGTCTAGGACAGGGGTGCCCAACTCCAGTCCTGGAGGGCCAGAGCCCTGCACATTTTTGGGTTTCCCCTCATTTTCAACTCCTTGTGCTAATTACCACACAGTTCTTGAGCTGAATAATTTATGGTGGAACAGGGAAAGAACTAAGCCACACAGGGCTCCGGCCCCCCAGGACTGGAGCTGAGCACCCCTGGTCTAGGAGCAGAGTTAGCATGAGGCTAGCTTGGGCCGTTCTATACAACCTTTAAAATGAAAATGACCAATGAGCTGAATGATACAGGCTCCTTTTATTAAAGCCACTGAACAATAAATTAAGGGACATAGAAACGAAAAAGAAAAGACAAGACAGGAAATAAAGAGGTATAGCTTACATAGATGGAAGTTTATTTTTACATAAAGCAAAAATGAATCAAAGGTTCTGTACAAGAGATGGGAGAGAGACGGCTGGTGGGCGGCTTCCGAGAGGGAAGGGGGGGGGAGGGCAAAGGCAAAGACAGAAGGGATTGGGTGCAGGAGCAGAGGGAACAGAGCGCCACCTGTCAGCCGGCCGGAGATGTCTGGGCGACGCAAAGTAAACAATTTATCTGTGCGGGAGAGAAGAAGCGAAACTTGAAGGTGGGGAGGGACTCAAGACGGGGGGGGGGGGGGGGGGGGGGGGGGGGGGGGGGGGGATGTTGGAGGGTAAAAGTGTCAAAACCACTAGAACCCAGGGTCAGTGACACTCGGTATTAGGGGCGATGGTTTGACATGAAGGGGGTGCTAATCAAACTGCATTCTCTCTAGTCTGAGGACAAGGCCTGTTAGGAGTTCCTAATGATCTACACCACAAACGGCATTCCTGCGTCCACTGCAGGTGACTGTTAGAGGGTGTAAAAAGTTTGGCACACGACACATGGGAAACATGGAGAAGTGTAACAGATTGTGGTTTACAATTATACACTTCAAACAACACACTGCATGCGTTGTTTAAGAACTAAGTACTCCAAACACATTTCAGTAGATTACAGAAACCGCAGGCTGGATATGAGGAGAGCCACTCGCATAAGATCCGCTGGTCAGTATCTTACGCATCTGTTGTGTGGGTTCTGGTATTTAAACCATGGTTTGTTCCCACAGCCGAGCAACAGACAGCTCACTCTGTGGCTCGGCTGATAAGACAACAGGGCTCCAGCACAGCCGAGAGGCCGGCCTCCATAATTCACAGCAGACCAGTCAAACATCCAGTCGTAATAATATGCTACAGAATTATGGGCCACTGGCTGCCAGAGACACAACAGCAAACTCAGGGGAGGTGGACAGGCATGGGGGGGGGGATGCAGGGGAGATGGACGAGGAGGTGGGCAATTACATGGATGTCATATCGTTGAGGGCGTGGTCCAGCTCTTCGCTGATGGCCTTGTACTTCAGTTTCTGGGCATACAGCTCATCTACGCGGGAGTGGGGTGGGGGATTGGTGGATTCGGGGGGCGGGGGGATGGGGATACGTCAGGAGGGATGGGTGTGCAAACGAAGAGGAGTGGTCCACCCAAACGACAGGTCACAGTGAGAGACGGACAGAAAATGGGAGAGGAAAGAAGTTAACGGAGGAAAAACTGAAGAGCGCATGAATGGGTTTAAACAGTGAAGAAACAGGATGGGGTTGGAGGTTCAAAATAAACAGCATGCAGACTGATGCTGCAGATGTTAAGGACCCCCAAAGGCGGCAAGTCACGCTGCGGCCACATGGTCAACCACCAGCAGTGCAGCAGGCACCTCCCATCCGCAGGGCAACACTGCACCTTCGGGCTCAAATCACCAGATTCCTGTATTCAACCTGCTGTAACTATGATTCCCTATTTCAACGCAGGAAAGGTATCTATTGCGTCACTTCTTTTGAGCAAAGGCAACAGAATTCAATTTGTGGGTTTCTACTTAAGAGAGAGATGGAGAGAACAGCGATCGAATTCTCATAAAGCAAAAAATAACAGATAAAGATAAAAGATGAGGTAGCACAGGCTAAGCAGCAGCTGGTAAGTTGTTTCTCAAACCATCCTCTGTCTAACTGGTCCTGGCCATTTATTTGGAATGAGGAGAGATCCATACCTTCCAGGTCATCAATGGTCTTCTCAAGCTTGGCTACTGATCTCTCAGCAAACTCAGCACGAGTCTCAGCCTGTCGGAGGAAGCAGGACCTCAGAGTCATTTGGTTGTCCACTGAAAGGGCCACCACCCCCCCATGACTCTCCACGGCTGCCGATGTGAACTCACCTCCTTCAGCTTGTCGGTGAGGACCTTGATCTCCTCCTCATATTTGTCCTCTTTCTGTGAGTACTGTGGATGGACGGGGAACAACAGGTTAGCCAAGACACTGCAGAGATAGAATTGCCTGGAGGATTTGAAACAGAACCTGTTTCAGAGCTGATCCTCAGAGACCCCCACACAGTCCATGTTTATGCTCCCAGAGCAAAAATCTGGACTGTCTGGCTGGGAGGGAGCAAAAACGTGGATTGTCTTGGGGTCCCCAAGGACTGGGCTGGGAAACACTAACCTAGAACACCAAACAACATCAACCTTGGGCCCTCATTCCCATATAAAAAGTAGGTGCTGTTAACTGTACCTAAACAGGACACAGAAGAACAATGGCTGGGACATGCTGGTTCCTTACTAAGCATGTGATATTCATCACCGTGGCTGAGCAAGCATGTGAACTGTGAGCTCCAGCACAGGACAGAGGCCTACCTTCTCAGCCTGGGCCTCCAGTGACTTCATGTTGTTGGTCACAGTTTTCAACTCTTCCTCAAGTTCAGAACATTTTCTGACGTTTTAGGTGAAGACAGGGTGCGGAGGTGAAGGCGGGGTGGGGCAGGGTGGAGTGTAGAGGAAGTGTGGGGAGTTGGGTAGAAAACAGGAAGATGGCAGAGACAGCGACAGGAAGTAGAAAAACACAATAAAAATCCAGAGAACAGGAGAAGGGAACCCAAAGAATCACAAAATGTTGTGCTGTGTAGAAGCAGGATTTCTAGAAAGGTCTAGGCTAGCACTGAAAGGAACAAAGCACCACTTAGAATAACAAAAAATAAAATTCACAAGAAGAGTGGTTTCAAGAGTAAAGCAGCAGAGACTAAAGAAGGGACAGGTTAATGGTGTAAAAGGTTAGTTTATATACCTGAGCTTCAGCAGCCATTAATGATTTAAAGCTTTGTTCCAAAACTCTCAGTTGCTCCTCTGCTTTTCGTACCTGTCTGTTAGTGGGTGTGAGGAAAGCAAGGCCATTCAGATCACGGGAGTCATGCGGCATGGTTTGCACATGCAATGCTGACACAGGAGAATGGCGACATCTAAGCGACTCTGGGTTACATGGGCGAAGGTGTCATGCAGACTAACACAGTGTGTTGAACTTCACAGCACTGCTCTTCGTTTATTTAGCAGAGGCTTTTATCCAAAGCGACACAGGGTCAGCCGGTCCTTGGAGCCACTGGCGTTAGAGGCCTTGCTCAAGAGCCCAGCAGTGACATCACTCTGCCAATCAGGGGTTTCGAACCTATGACATTCTGATCTTATTCACAGAGCCCTAACCAGCGGAGCCACCCAACCCCCGTCTTCATTCTTAGTCTTACAGGGATGCAGTATGCATGGGTATTCACCCTAACTAAGCAGTTACACTAATTCAGCTCCTCCTGTTTATCACTGAATATGCAACCATCAGGCAGGTGCAGGACAGGGACCCGGTGCTGAATTAAAGAGCTTACCCCTCATTCAGCTCAGCACGTTCCTCAGCACGCTCCAGATCTCCCTCAATGATCACCAGCTTACGGGCCACCTGCAGACATAACGGCACAGCAGAGTCACCCACCAAGCAGCTTGACAGACGGGTACCAAAGCCGACGGGCACATTCAGGAACTCGCCTCCTCATATTTGCGGTCAGCCTCCTCAGCAATGTGCTTGGCCTCCTTCAGCTGGATCTCCTGCAGCTCCAGCTTCTCCTCATCCTTGGTGGCTCTGTTCTCAATGACCTTCATGCCTCTGCCAGAAGACAGCGTTGCGTTAGTGTTACCGTGCGCCAACACTTCGCGCGGCTCATTCAGAACTAACTCTACTGCAGTTCAGCAAAAATAAACCGGCCTCTGAAGATCAGACTGTTGATTGCACTAATTTTTCTACTTCAACAAAAACAGAATGAAAGTCACATAAGCAGGAATAACTTGTCACAGGCAGTGTACAATGAGGAGGTGACTACACCCAAGGGCTGAGAGGCACAGAGGGATGTTTATGGAAGAAACAAAGGAGACAGAACTCCGCTCTATGCTGCTGTCTCACCCTTTACTCTCCGCTTGTTTCTCCCACAACAATCCCCGCTTGTGTCTGTAAACAGTGGCGCTACTCTATATCAGCAGGTTTTAGCGGAAATGATTTTGCAAACCCCAATAAGAGCATATGAAGCCACTTAACCTATAATAAATAGGAAGCAGCAAAAATACTCAGTCGATGGTATATAAATATTTTAAAAGGGCAATTATCTCTTCTCTGACACCCCAGAGAGGGATGCACTTTTTGCCCCCCCCCCCACACACACACCTCTCGCTCTCATCAGCAGCCTTCTCTGCCTCCTCCAGCTTCTGCAGGGCGGTGGCCAGACGCTCCTGGGCACGATCCAACTCCTCCTCAACCAGCTGGATGCGTCTGTTCAGGGAGGCTACATCAGCCTCAGCCTATGGGGAACGCAGCAGAGCACCAGCGAAATGGTGAGACAGACACAGAAACCAGAACCACACACAACAAAATGACACTAAAGCAGTGGAACCACGCACACACACACACACACTTCTGCTGATTAACTGGAATCTGCACAGGTGTCTGTTCAGTTCCTGTGTTGTGTGAAGGCTGCACTGCAGTGTTAGGGCCTAGAGATTTCAGCACTAAATATGAGGGTTACATATAAACATACCAGCTTGCATTTGTTCAAAGGAGTTTGGCTAAGAGGAAACAGAAAAGTCAAGGTTGACAACTTTGGTCAGCTAACTTAGGTGAGACAAGTCTGCACAGGCATTAACACGCAGGCAGTTTTATTACCTTGTAAATAGTCTCTAGTATTTGCCAACGACCCCAACGCTTTTGATGTAGCTAATTTTAGGTTTATAATGTAATACTATAGATTTGCCGTAAGATTTCTTGTGTGAGTCTGAAAGCCTGAGTGTCTCGCCAGATGCGTGAGAGTTGGCAGCCCTTAAAGGTTTAAGGTATTACTCCTGTCAATAGGCCCATCAAGCCGATTAATTCACTACCAAATGCGAGGTGAAGAAATTACTTCAAATGCCAAAAAAGGGATTTCTATTATACACTAGGTGAAGTGCAGTGAGCGCTTCCTAATAAGTGAATGGATAGGTTTAAAGCAAATTAACCTTAAAATGCAGATTCATGAATTACTGCCTAAACTAAAAATCTAGGCCCACCTGGTTGTTTCCTCTACCAACAGAGAAGGATAAATGCAAAACAACAGACATAACTCGGTGCTGGCGGTGGTTCGCAAAGCCAAGCCGGCGTCGAGTCCGCCGCGTCAGCCCTACGCAGCCGGCGCGGTTCACGCCACCGACACACCAAACTGCCCTTTATTCCCATTTCTGACCCTTTCCTTAGCGCCAGGCTAAGTTCGCCCACATCAACTGCCCGCTGCTGTAGTTTTAACATACTACATTCGTATTTGTTAGTTTTTTTTTTATTTCATAAGATGTTAACCTTGTTGAAACGTTGAACTGCGACTCCTGCTTATGGGATTAATTAGATTACAGAAAGGTGTACATCATAAATTTAGACAAATCCCCGTAAAGTCATAGCATGTTAGCGTTTATAAACAGGGGGACTTTGAAAAGTAACTAAATTACCCTAAATACACACGCCTTTTTATACGCATATACAAGAATGCCCAGGAGTTTAATATTTTGACTTTAAATGAGTGAATATTGTTATATTAATGACCAGAGAACATTCTGTGACCCACAGTACCCAAATGATCTTATTCACGATTGTTTAGTCAATTTAAATAAAAATTTCGACGCAGTTTCAAAGTTCTAATTTTTTACTAGTATGTTAATAGCACAATTTCATGGATTGTTAGGGAAAACATAATCGCAAATAATATGCCAGTTCGTTTACTGATCTAACACGTAAAGGACACAGAACTACACACGGACTTTACACTAATAATTACACCAAACGCAGCACCACTTAACTCCGTTATTAATGATATGTTATTGTTTTTAAGAACTACAACCCTATCAACATCACTTTAACAAAATAATTCTAACAAAATAAATCTCACTGTTGAGCCCTAAAACAACACAATACTCCCACACCTTACCCGCAGGTTCGTTCAAACACGGGTATGTGAAATCGCATACTTATTTTAAAACTTTTTCATTTTTTCATGGCTTACTGCTTCTCTGGTTTTTATCTCCAAACTCAGCTCTTTCTGCAGTTTCTGGGCTTTCTCTTCAGCACTATCTGCATGCTCTTGCAAAGACTTTATTTTCCTTTTCACGGCTTCCAGCGAGCCTGCCATTATTTGTCGGCCTCTTTAAAAAAACACCAACAACCTTTACGCGATTTCCTACAAAAGACGTGCAATGACGCGCTGCCTATGCAAAAGCGACGGGCTGCACCGCACCAAGAGAGCTGTGGCAGCAACACCGGAAGTGTGCTTTCATACCCTGGGCTGGCGCCGTCAAATGGCAAATTACTTTACAGAGGGGCACTTTGTGCGGACTTTCTGTCCGAATTGAAGGAGATGACAAACCGTTCACGACCTCAGATGAAAATCTGTACTTCTGTAATAATAAGGACATCAATCTACGTTCCAAAAGAAGCAGTATAAGTGTATTCATTTATATGGTACGCCCCCTGCTGATGTAATTTGGTAAATGCGCCTTGATCACGTTGACGCTGCTTGGTCACTTTTGGACAACCTACAGATTGAAAATAACAATTAAAACAGTCAACAATATAGAATATACACATTTCTCCGTAGTTGATTTATTTGTTATATTTCATTGTCCGTAAATTTTATCGTATGTAAATCACTGAACGAATAGGCCTAGTTAATTTGAAATAAGTGATTAGAAAAACATGGTACTCAATGCGTAATACAGCAGAAGCTTGCACTAGTGCACCGTTCAGAGCAGCCCCTGCCTTGTGCTTCCTGGGACAGACTCTATAGGCTCGCCACCACCCTGTACTGGATAAGAGCTTGAAAAATGGATGGACGTAACGCTCCAAATGTTAGAAATAATTTTAATAGTTCTAGTATTTAACCAGTCAAGAATTATATTTCTTTTTATATTCTACAAATAAAATAGCTTGCAGGGGATTAATAATTCGGTACTCAGCTCGCATAAAACTTCTGAAAATTGGAACATAAATCCATCTGAGTAGCCTATTTCTGTTATTGTACCGTTGCAGCTTAAGAGCTAAAGACAATGTGGCATTATGATTTCTGTTTTTTTTGGGCAACTTAGTTCCTGTATTTCATTCTGAGCAAAGACAGCTGCGGATCCTATTTCGAAACCTATTAGCATATTCAAATCTATACTCTTCCTTTTTATTCTGCAGGCATTTGGACCCCGTTTTCTAGATGAATATGAACCATGAATATGAATGTGGAATGTTCCACACAAAATTAAGAATGAGAAAAATATGCGTGTGTGCAAGAGGTTGTTTTCACTTTATACAGTCACTGCTGGGCCCTTGGTCAAAGGGTTAACAGCTGTATAGTATATACAGTATAGTATATAGTATAGTATAGTATATCTGTAATAAAAACATTAGTAAATTCAACTTTTCATTAGTTAAACACGATAGTAAACACGATGTGATATTCACAAACTAAATGAAGTTATTTAAAGTTAAGTATGTTTTATTATATAATGCAAGGCCAGTTTAAGTAAGTATTAGTTAATAATCGTCCTTATTAGATGTGGGCATACGGAGTAAGTCAAGTTCCTTTACTTAAGTTGCTTTACCATATAAAGCACGGGGCTAAATTTAACTGTCCGTTCGCTCCCAACATAGAGACTGCAGATCTTGCAAGTTTATGTTTCCTACATAAATGCCTGTTAGGTTTTTTTCTGAGGTGTGTAAGGTTACTTCAGAATGTTTTAAAAGCCTAGCCATCAATACCCTTCGTCGACAGAAACAACGCATGATTTAGAAGGATATTTCAGATTTGAGTACAAAAACGTAAATAAATGAATGACTTCACCATCCCCGGGCAACAGAATGCATGGATGTGAGAAAGTATGTCAGACTGCAGTGGTAATAATTAGTGGTAATTACAGATTAATAGGGAATATTTTTTACATCCAACATTTTGCAAGAAAACTGAATGTAGAACATAGGTAGTCTACTTCATCCCTATCATTAAGATGTAACTAATAAATACTTGAAAATAAAAATGCAATATGCATGTATTTAGTATTCATATGAATAACAGTAGACGTTCCAGTTTTAATATTTCACGTTTTTAGTGGGGAAAGACGGGATGCATTGCAGGAGTGGTGACGTTACAACTGTCCTCCCCGCTACTTACATCAGTGGCTTTCTTCTCAGCCAGTTCCAGTTTCTCCTGGGCGTCTTTAAGGGCCTCGGAGTACTTGTCCAGTTCATCCTCAGTTGACTTCAGCTTCTTCTGCAGAGCTGCCAGATCATCCTCGAGCTGTGTAGCGGTTCATGCCGCCGTGGGCACGCGCGAAACCATGGAGCGTGCACGCGCAGAATCAGCGCGGTGCGCGCAGACGGAGACAATAGACAGAAAGAAAGAGCACAAGTTAGGAGAAGCTACCACAGCTAAAGATATACCTTGCTGGCAGCGCCCAGCTTTTCTTCAGTAGCAGAACCCCCCCTTATTAACTTTATTAACAAGTAAATTAACAAATATAATTTGTTTCAAAAAGCCTGGCCACGTTAATAATGCAATTTATAACTTGGCAATTTCATACACCATATTTATTATAGATTATATAATATACTGTACACATTGATGTAGCTTATATACTGGCATTATAGCATGCATTATGGCATGCATTATGAATGAGCAATTAGTCACTTGAGTTTATTTTCTTGTAGTGTCCACAAAGTTTGCAATAAAATATTCCAAACGTGTGAGGAAAAAATTCAAGATCTTTTATGTCCCTTATTTTGTACGTTCTTCTGAGGAATTGCTATTAATCCGTAAGGGAGAGACGATCCATTATGTTTTTCTATTGGTTTATTCGATTTCTCTATTTTAAAAATAAATGCCGACCTGTTTGCTCCTCTCCTCAGCTGCTTTCTTGTCTCCCTCAGCCTGCTCTGCTCTGTCCAAGGCATTCTCCTTGTCCAGTTTGAGCATCTGCATCTTCTTCTTGATGGCATCCATGGCTGCTTATAGTTTGTCTACCAACAAAACCCCCAAAAGAAACTGCGGAGAAGTGGTTGCTCGGAGGGCAGCTTCGAGCGTCTGTGCCGGACTGAGCGCCTAGCTGGAGTGGAAGCTTTTTCTCACTGTACCCTGTCAAATATGTACTTTCGCAGGGGGGCGACTGGATTCTTTTGGACATCCAATACTTTTTTGGAAAGAGCTTCTGCTGGTCCCTTCCCCTTGCCCTGTCTTTTTTATGGATCTGTTAGACGATTCGCTGTTCCCAGACATTTGACCGTTAATATGGCTATATATGGGATTTGATGGGCAAAGAAGCTACCCCGAGCAAGACGTCTGTGCCTATTTCTAACACTGTACATATTAAACCGTGGCGTTTAGGAGACACGGGAAGAGAAATACATAGAAAATTTCCCTGAAATGTAAAACAAACATTTAATTACTCGAGAAAATGTCCGACTTTCATATTTCGATGCCTTTCTTCTATTAAAATTTTTGATAAAAATGTCCAAATTTTATTATATTTAGTCCATTTTTATTATTACACCAGTTTCAGTAATACACCCAATATTTTTGCAATGTAGATTGATTGAGATCTAATGCTAAAAAAAACGGGAGCAGATCAGACTGAACCGAACGTGAATGTCACGGCAGACAGTAAGCAGGATGGGCTATAAGCAGTTAATATATCCCTGCTAACGTGACTGCCTCCACGTAACGCCGCCTCAGCTTAGGTAAACTGTCCCGTCAGTGATACAGTGGTGATGAAGGAAGAATGGCGTTAGCGAAGCCTCTGATGCATTGTTCACAATCTGAACAACACCAGATACACATGCACTCCGGCGATAGTGTATTTCATGACTTCCCAGGCAGCTCCCTAAGTGCTGCTGAGTTCTGTCAAATGGTCCTCGACGGGACAGGCGAGGTACTCGGACGTTTCCAGCAGCCCATTTTACTTATGTGGCACAGCTGTCAAGCCTGATTAAAGCATACGGTGAAGGCATGGGTAATCCGGCCCTCTTGGGTTTAACACTTAATACCAATACTCAATATCTAAATGGCGCAAGGCATCTGATATAACAATATCAGTGGATCCGATCGGTTGCAACTTTTTGCTCCTCAGGGTTCATGTATAATCACTATCATATATAATCACTGATCTTTTTCCTTCCGTGGTATATGCGATAAGTTAATTTTCAGTATAACCTATTTCGACGACGTGAAATGACAATGATTTTTTTTGCGACTTAGTACATAAGTTATGATTGTTTCTACGTGTTGAAATAACTATGCGCGCGATCAAGCGAATGACAGTAAGTGTCAATCGTGTCTTTTCTAAAGGGAAGCGGTGCCAGAAGCTGGCTTATGTCTGTGCCCTGCTGCTTCGGCTCTTGTCCTCCTCGTTCTTCTTAAGTTCCTTCAGGCAGTATTTTTAGTAACGCCTTCACCCCCTCGACGCACCTGCCTTGGTCTGTAAATTTCTTTTAGAATACCACACCATGTGGCTGGGGTCAACCCTTATGAAGTACACCCCTAAAATTAAACTACCTCTCAAACTTTATCTATCGATCTATCTATGCCTATATTTAAAAAATATTTATTATCGTCATTGTCAATCCTGTTATTTAAGCAGAATTATATTGAACCCATCTGAAAATTTCCTTTTTCACAAGGCTGTGTTTTTAACCTAAATAAACATTGCCATTTCAGACACTATCTTGTAATCTGTACGTACTGTAACAGGCATGCGTGCTACGTCACACGCAGAATTTTAACTGATTGTAAGCATGTGCTTATTAAGAGGCACAATCAAAAGATATGCTTTGCATTGTGGCGTTTTACATTTATATAAAAGAAGGGCGTTTCCGTCTTGCAGGTAATGTTGTGAGATTAGAGAGAGAGAGAGAGAGAGATCAGATGCTGCTAGTGTACAGTATTACACCTCCTGAATGTCATACGTTACTGAGTCCCCCCCCCCATAAATGAGATCAGCCTGGAGAGTCAGTGGGACGTATCACCTATGTGAGCTGGACGTTGATCTCTGGCAGCTGCTGGGAGGTGGATTCGGGACACATGGCAGCGAAGACAGAAAGGAGGAGCCCAGCCCTGTTAGCGCGATGCTACCCTGACTATTCGCGATCAGTAATCAGGGCTATTAGGCTAAAACAAGGACTCATCGACATTTAACAGCCTGACTGGACTGATGATAGATGCTACTGAAGAAAGAAGTGAATGGCTGGTTTAACCACACGCTCAGCTGGAAAAAAACAGGATTCATTTTCTTCTGGTACTTAAAAAATAATAAATTGATTATATTTAATAACCATGTATTAGATAAATGGTTCTGGAAAATGGATAAAAACATTTTTTGGAGCTAGCTGAATGCTATAGTATTCAAATCTCATCCCCAGTTACCAAAATTGTTTTAATTGCAGGGCAAGGCTTGTTCCGTAGCGCCATTAATCTCTCATGAGAATAGCTAGCTGTGAAAGTGACCACGGAGTGGGATTTTGTTTTTTGGAACCTGAAAACCACCGAAAGTCACGTAGTTTGGAAGCCAACCTAGCAATCATTCTTCAGACTTTCACCAGGCTGAGAATGGATCAGAATAATCTGCTTTCCTTAAAACATTCACAGACCATCGCAGAATTATTACAATGCATACCAGACCGTATAAGAATGACACATAAGGGCAAACAATTTAACAAACTCAGAGAGAGAGAGAGAGAATCAAGAGATTTATGAAGTTTATGGATTTTAAAAAAGTGAACATTATTCTAAACTCCTGAAAATATTTCTGGTCTGTCTAGCAGACTCAGAAGGTGTCTGCGGTTCCTTAGTTGGTTCGGGGTGGTATGCCAAGAATGAAAACAGCGGCTATAACTGAGCTCTGCTGTACGGTTTTGTGGAGCACTGAGGAACAAATGGGTACAGACTCAGCAAATAAGACTTTTAAAACAAAACGTTACAACAGTCATTGCAAGACAAACACCATCAAGTAACTGATGTGGCAGTTTCATGACAAATGCTAAATTATTGAGTAGAGGTGAGACCGGGCAAAAAAACCGAACCGGTGTTTTAACATTATTGAAAAGGATAAATTAGGTTGGTAGAAAGATAAGGTTAAAGGAAGAGTCCAACAGCGCTTCCTCTCTTTGCAGGCTTACTTCTTTTAGGTTTATGAAGTAATTTGGTCATTTGCAGGCCGGCAGAGCGGAATGGCGGCTTCAGCATGTAGCATGCAGGCCTTTCTGCCGCCTCCGCCTTCCAGTGCGGTTACTGCTACAGTCATGTCAGCTGTTTTTACAGCTGCAGCTTCACTCAACGCATTTTTGCTTCCCTGCCAGGGAAATTAAGAAAACCATCAGTTGAATATCCAGAGATGTGTAATTATAAGCTGAATTGAAATAGAAGAATGCTATGTACAGCTCATAATTATATGCTTCTGCGCTACAAGAGAGTGGAGAGATTTTCAAAAAATTTCTCATATGCTTTGAGAAAAATGAAGCAATATTCTGAATCCCAACTCAATAAAATGTTTCTATTCTTCACAAAAGACATAGAGATTGCAAATGATACATTCCCATCATATGGACAGAGATGTACACGACAAACACGCTTTACTGGTAGGACAAATACTCATTGTAATTCAGTTTAACTCATTGTAATACTAGAATCTCTGAAAAGAAAGAAAAAATATTTTATTGTTGAGAAATAACCTGAAATGGATCTTAATGTTGTCAGATGTGACACAATCCTTCCTGGTGCTTGAAAACATACTGGAGATTATCTGCAGTCTGCACAACATCCCTGCTCACATCACCACAGCCTGCTCACTGTGGTCACTGCAAGGAGAAGAGCACAGGCTCCTGAAATACTCACAGTAATTGAGTGAAGACTTTTTGCAGTGGCTGTTAAACCCAAACTTTGGCTGTCACCCACATTGCAAATGAAAATGACTGACCTTTCTTCGGGGGGGACAAGCTCTCTGCACTCGTCAGGCCAGCTTTTGTCAAATGCCAGTCCGGTGGCATGCCTTGCGTTTACAGAGCTCACAAGAGCTCAGACCAGAATCTCTACAATCCCAACCCTCCCAAATGACAGGTCCATCAAAACAGTATTGTGTGACCACTCCTTGGTGATGTCCAGTTTACATGCAACACTCAAAATGAGTCAACTGATTTCAATATTATTTTCATCCCCGTCCAGCGACATGAGGTTACAATTATGGACATATTTAGAATGGCCTGTTCTCTTAGGAAAAAACAAGACCAGAAAAATAGGGAACGTAATATAAAGATCAAAGCACATAATTACACGATCTTAGTATTTTTGGTGCAAGTTAACTTCGGGTTCTGGTTTGTTGACCCTGGTCCACCAGAGGCCTTGATCTTCTCTAGCCATGGATTCCCGTGCGTAGCGTCAGTCCACAGGTCCACCACAGCCTTCCAAGGAGGGACACTGGCCGTGTGCTTATATTTTGCAGAGTAGCTATGTAGTTTAGAAGATAGGATACAATCAAAGTCTCACACAATGCTTTGAAATGCTATTCAACTGCTATGCAAAATGCACATGGACAAAGATCTTATTTATTCACAGTGTAAACATTTAATAATAACCTCTTCTTACTGCTTCCAGAAAACAAAGGAAAGGCTACAGAGAAGGAGACTTACATTAGGAAGTCTGGTTAGCATAGATCGTTTACAGCTGGTTATTCCACCCAGGCTGTATTTCACTCATTTAATATGCAGGACAGGATTGTTTCGGGTGACTCAGAACAACACAGTGATTCACCATAATCCTGCACATGTATTCAGAGGTCTAATGTTATGTGTTATGGTTCCTTGGATGTATTTTGACTGAACTAGTTTTACCTGCTCATGTCCCAGGAAAAGGGAGCTGCATCTGCATTGATTTGGGCTTAGTTTTATTTACTGAAACAGGAGGATATGGAAATGTGTAGCAAGCATGAACCAGGGAGCGCCGAGCACACCTGACCATCTTCTACCCGCTGATCCTGGTCAGGGGGGCCTGGAGCCTATCCCAGGCAGCAGCGGGAACGAGGCAAGGGATTGGGTGCCAGTCCATCGCAGAACACACAAATGGGCAATTTAGAGACTCCAGTTCGCCTGAT